GATTTTATTTTCTCGGAATGACCAAATATATAATGAAAAATTAAACGATTTATACAATTATTGTAATAAAGAAAATTTAAATATTTTTTTGCTATATATAAAAAATAAATTTCAAAAAGTAATTTATGAACATGTTTACATTCCCCTAAAAAATAAAATAATAAATTGTTTATGGACAAATAACAACTGCGAATCTATGAACCATGTTTTAAAATCATATATAAACTGGAAACAACGTCCTTTAAAAGAATTAATCGAAAAAATTAAGGATATCACAATGTTACAAGAAAAAGAATTTAAAAGATCCTTCTCAGGAAAAGGAGAATATTTTTTAAATAATGAATATCGCAATTATTTAATACCCGAATCGATAGATTGTCATGATACATTAAATAATTTACTTAATAGTCAAAGCAAAGATAAATTACATTCATTAGATAAAACTTTATCTGTTTTAAAACCAAAAGGCTCAAAAAAACCACATCAGCGACGTAGAATTAAAGCAGAAAGGACTCGATAAAATATTTTTTATAAATTTTAATTCCTTATTTTTCCCCAATTTTCCCCTGCTCATAATCTATTTCATCAAAATATATAATTTTATTATCCTAAATGTATATTTAAATCTTCTCTGCCGAACAAATTATATTTTATGAACGCAATAATTATATTATAATAACATTATATATCAATTTGGTAAAAATAATTAATATGAATGAATAAAATGAATTACCATCGTTATTAATTTATCTGATTAATAAAAATTGCAAAATTTAAAAAAGACTACTAATTTTTTACCAAAATATAGATAATGCTATAAAAAAAATCATAAATATTTTAGTCATCATGAGAGAATATGGCGAAATTTATTAAACACATTCAAAAATATTATTTTTAAATTTTATAATTAAAAATTTAAAGACGCCATCTAGCGGATAGAATATTATTTCTTTTATTTTAATAAATAAAAAATGTTATGAGCAATTTTAATTTTATAAAAGTATTGAAGCTAAAATATCTAATAGATAATTTTTTACACCTGTCCAAACCTTTATCTTATTTATAAACTAATTAATTCTCAATTAATATTAGGAAAGTGAAAACCCACTGGAAAATGTTTGGAAATTTAATAAATAAATATAAGCCGAGCGATATTTAGTAATAAAAAATTTATTATGTAATTAGCCTAGTGGAAAATTCGATTAAATGACTTTACTATCTTAAGTAGACAACAAATTTTCTATGGAAAAGATTATAAATTGAAAAAAAGGGTGCGGTTTATCCGGTGCAACATTTATGGAAAACTAACAAGAATTGTTAATTATATAAATATATGTATTTTCTAGATCATACTACACTTGAATCATGGTCAGTACATAGATAGTTACATCTAAAGAAAGGTTTTGGTACTTGTGGAATCCTAATTATGGACATATATAGATCTGTAATGATCTTACATTTGTGAATCCCTTAGTTACACCTAAAGAAAGGTTATGGTATCTGTAGAACCCTAATTAAAGGACAGGTTTTTTAGAACTAATGATTTGCATCTATAAATCCCTTTTAAGGAAATAGCATTTATTAACTATAATATAGATAAATACATCTTTTTTACACATATAACTTTAAACTATAATAGTTACTTGTTCAAAAATTTAAAATAGCCAGTTTAAGCAAGAATGCACTTAAATATAAGAAAATAAGGAAACGCTTGGTTCTCTAAAGGGGATTATAATAATGCATATCATACAAATTCTATAACCAAATGATGCAATTTTATATAATAACAGGGCTCAAACTCTAATAAAACTTAATAAGTATATAGAAGCAACTGATTGTAATAGAACTATAAATTTAATTAATAAAAGTCTAACCCTGATTATAAAGATTATATCCATCTTAATCCTAATATTCTTAAAATATTGTCTAAATCCTATTTTAGAAGAGACCTATCTAGGTATGAATTGTTTAATGAATAAACTTCAAATTTCAGATATTGACAAAAATATGCAAATAAGTCAATGCATTGGAGATCTTAAGATGATTTTAGATTTTGAATCTAGCAATGTAATTATTAAGCAATATTGCAAAATTATCAAAAATCTTTTTGAAGTAGCAAATAGTGGAGAACCAACACTTGCTAATGTAGAAATGATTAATATTACCACCATTCTCTTCTAACAACTCAGAATGCACCTAAAAATTTATATCAATTTCTTAAAGATATGTCATTCTTATCTAAATTACAGATTAAAAATATAAATGATCAAATTTTGCTCTTTAAATATATCTCAAATATCAATCCAACCAATTATCCAGATAAAATTGGAAAATCCTTAGAATACTTAGAATTTATAATTAAAATTTTAAAATATAGTCAACTCTCAAAGAATCAAAGTACAAATAATTTTCCAATTGATGTTCTTGGTCATTTAGAACATTTGAGCAATATTAAAAGATTTTGATACTATTGCAACCCTTTTTTAAATAATTCAGATAAACAAAATATCAAAGAAATTTTATCGAACTGTGAATCAAATATATCTGATAAATCCCATAAGATAGAATTATAAAAATTTATTAATTATATAGTTTATGATAAATGTAAAAACTAATTCATGTTAAATACATTTCTTTAATATTAATCAACAATATTTGTCTATTATAATATAGCACTGTCTGTCTTTCAGGTTTGAATTTTCATTTGTTATACCATAACTGATGAATTGATAATTTGGGATTAGCTAATTGACATTTAATTTTAACTAGAAACTAAGAAAAAAAAATTGATATGGTAATGATTATCTCAAGTCCGTGAATAATAATGATAACGATTCCGGGCTCACTATAATAATGATAATGTGGTAAATAATGAGGATCCTGAGCATTGCTTGCTTACTACAAACAAGGATTTATGCAGACACTATTGACTCTAGAATGACGAGAATAATTGAAGGTAAAAAGAAGGAAAATATCAGACAAAGATAGTAAGCTCTTTTAGGATAATGGGTCTCAGGAATTGGGAATACAATTACAGGGAAGTTGGATGCCTCCTAATAGGACATGCTATATAGACATAACGTTATCTTACAAGGATATACATACCTAACATAAGAATTACTTTTTTTCCATCTCTAAAATATATGACCAGGCGTCAGGTACATTATTATTTATATTTGGTTACAACTTCTTAACACTATCTTGCCGGTAACGGAACTAATAGATCTCCTCTTTCTTACTCCTCTCTTCTTTACTATGCTAGCTGACTACATAGTGGTACCGTCCACTATAATAAAACGGATATACATCATGTATAGGATCTATATAGTAGTGAATATACTTGGTGCACGCTACAACTCCTGGTGGGTGATGAAATTGCACGAAGTGCAATTTCTGGCGTGGTAATGAATGAATGAATTAGCCTAGCGTAATTTAAATAATAAATGATTTATTATGTGGTTAACCGAGCCACATTTCCCAATCGAGCGATATTTACTAGCCGAGCGATATTTAGTAATAAATGATTTATTATGTGGTTAGCCGAGCGATATTTTCTAGCCGAGCGATATTTTCAGCCGAGCGATAAATAGAACCACCGATATAGATTGCTAAGATGATAAATTAAAAATTTAATGAAAATGTACCCTAGATAAATAACAATTGTCATAATAGTTGGTACATCTCCACTAAAATTTTATTTAAACATGTTAGCAATGCTTATTTTAGCCCATTTACGTCAAAAAAATTCGAAAAACTTTAAAAAACGATTATGACAATTGTCACTTATCTATCGTACATCTTCACTAAAATTTTATTTAAACATGTTAGTAATGCTTATTTTAGCCCATTTACGTCAAAAAAATTCGAAAAACTTTAAAAACAACGATTATGACAATTGTCACTTATCTATCGTACATCTTCACTAAAATTTTATAAATAACTATTCTTTTAAATATTAAACTTAAAATATTTAATAACTTTTGACTTCATTTACAATTTATTAATAATATTTGCAATAGACGAATGATTAAAATGTCATAAATGTCGATTTCTGATTTTCTATTTATGGTTTATGACATTTAAATTTTTTAACAATATTTATCATTATATAACTTTAAATGCCTACCAGTATCTTATATAGGAAAATTTAAATGACGCTTTTAGCTCAATTAAGTTTAAAATTAAAGATAATGTATTATACCCAAATTGACCAATTTTTTTACTTTTAGAGACCTCGATCTCAGCCGTTGTTTGGAGTTGGGGGCTAATAATTAATTTTTTTTAGTTATTATATCTTAGAAATTTTTCTAAGGGGGCGGGTTGAAAATAGTGTTTTTTTGTTAATTCATCACGGAATTCACCATATATATATATTTTTTAAAGAAAGATTATTGAAGTAGATAACTTTATTCTAATTTTGTCTTCCATTTTAATAAAATATAAGACTCATCAATTAGTTTTTTCAATATTTATAAATAGTATTTAAAATTCTTTTCATCCTTATAGTTACAAAAAAATGTTAGCTTTTTTTTCGTTATTTAGAGACATGCGATCTGTAGTAGAGCCCTATTATTTCCTCTCCTGATCATTAATCTTACCATTTATAAATATTTGTTTGAATTTGGTTTTAGGGAATTTTAAACTTTACTAATTATCGCGATCAAAATATTAATACTGCAAAATGCCAGAAAAGTAAATGTTTGATTGAACTTAAATTTTAAAAAAGGTTTAATTACGAATATTATCAAAGATTTACGAATAATTCCTTTTACGATATTTATTAGAGAATTTTTTTTACGAATAACAATTTAAAATTTGTAATAAATAACTCAATTTAATAAAACCTCTTAAAATTACTATTCACTTTTAAATGGGTGACTCCGAAATATGACTTTGTTACGGTCCTGATAAGATACTATTCATTTATTTGAGGATAAAATCTCGCGCTTAAGGATTTAAGGTTTATAAAATCTTTTTTTCACATATTGCTTTAAAAACAGTTTGGTGATATGTAACCTCTATCCCTTTTCTCAAGTAGTCAGAGAACCTGATGTAGCAATGGATGTAGCTATAGAAAACATAGATATAGGAGGTATTACTTTGATCAGGGCGGCGGCTAAGAATTTTGAAAGAGTCACCGTACTTTGCGATGTAAAGGATTATGAGAGGGTTTTGGACGAAATTAAAACCTATAAAGGCAAAACCACACTACAAACAAGACAGGAATTGGCTTTAAAGGTTGAATAATGCATATTAAAGTCTTTTCTCTGAATATATAGAAATATACTCTATTTTAACCACTTATATGATTTACTTATAGAGATAATTCATAACTTTGCTATCAATAATCGAATTTCAAATATTTTTTATATTTTAACTTGTCATCTGTTAACAGCTACGTTCAACAAATACTTATATATTATTAATTTATTCCTTATCTTAATTAACTAGGCATTCACTTGCACTGCTGATTACGATGATAAAATATCTGATTTTTTTCGTAAACGATTTAGAGATTCAACTTATCAAATTGATTTGAGGTATGGGATGAACCCAAGTCAAAAACCTGCTCAAATCTTCAGTTCAAACCACGAATTGCCATTTAAAGGTTATCCAAACATTTTTAATATAAGCTAGAAATCGTTTGATTATATTTTATTATTATTATATTTAGAAAATCGACTTGACATTGATATTTTAAATATAAAATTTAGGTAATAAAGTGGAATTATTATCGCTTATAAATATGACGTAATGTGTCAAAAATTTGATTTATATGATAATCATAAATATCTATTTATTTTAAAGCTAACTGAAATTAAATTTTTTTTTTAGTTTGAAATCACTCAATGATAAAGCGAGTAGATTGTCGCTCGAAAATTAGAATGATACTTCTTTTTTTTATTATAGTTTTAAATTATTAATTTTTTAGATTCTTCCATAAATAATTACTAATATAAAAATATTGCATTCATTTTGTGCTTTTATTTTTACAAAAAAAATAACTTTAATAACTATACTTTTTTTGAAAATAACTGATACATTTAGTTTGTTACTATGAATATTTGCATTATCTTTATATGATGATTTCCCAAATTTAATTACATTGTTTATCAAATATGATGCCTCACTTACATCAAGCTCTCCTTTAAAACATTTTTTATAATCTAGGGAAGCTTATTTTTTTTAAAAAACTCACCCCTTTTAGACAATATTTAAAAAAAAATAGATTAGCGTTAAACTCAATAAAAATTTATTAAGCCACATTAATTTAATATTATATTGTGTTAATTTTATATTTTTTCGGTGCTAATAAATATTGTGGTATTTTTTTTTCAGCGTAAATAAATATTACATTGTGATGTATTTTTATTTTCAGTGCAATTATTTTTTTTATATAATTTGTTTTCATTTAATTGATTAAAATTTTAAATCGTAAAATATATTTTTATATAAAAAAATTATCTTAGGAATATAATTTATAAAGTATTTTATAATGTAACGAGTTAATTTTTGAAATAGCTAGTTACTTAAAATAAATAAATAACGAGTTACTCTTTTAAGAAAAATAATATTTTTCTACGCCATTAGCTATCATTATTTCCGATAAAAATGAGAAAATCAAAAAAATAAATTAGAATAATTTATATATAATTTACCAATTTTAACCTTGAAAAAAATATTAAAAATTAGTATTGAATGGAGCCCCTGGTTATATAAATTTACTGGACGCCTTAAATTCTTGGCAATTGGTGAAAGAACTTAAAGGCGCCTTGAATATACCGGCAGCAGCTTCATTTAAACACGTTAGTCCAGCAGGTAATATAATTTTTTTTAAAAATAATAATCTCATTATTATCTTGGCCCTTTAAGGTTGTTTTCTCTTATTTTTAATACCTATTGACCAAAATGCAACTTATACACCATAAAGTGACCACTTTGAGATTTTAAAACGACTTCAATAAAATCAGGCCGGTCTATCTTTTGATATTGGTATTCGGCCCGATCTCAGTCCTTGATCCTCACTAATATTTAATAATAAATATATAAAAACGAAGCACAAATTGTCATTTATTAATTTTACTAATATTAAATAAAATTCATAAAGGCGAATACATAAGTTTTAATTGATAAGATGCATTTATTAAAAATTTCCTAAGTAAAAATATTAATGATTGCAAAATATGTAATATTTATTAAAATAAAAAAATACGAGAAACTTTAAAGAATAAATTTAATTTAATTTTAATCATTTAATAGTCAGGGTTGAAAAGACCGGAACCTATTAAAAATCTTTTAATATCGTTTTTATTTATTCCGAACTTTGGCCTTTCATTAAATATTGACATGTGGATATACATAATTTTTATTGTTACTCTATTTCACTTATAAATTATAAGGTGTCGGTATTGGTGTGCCATTCAATGAAGAAGATGCAAAAGTTTTCATGGTTGAAGATCTATTAGAACGATTAACTCCTATTGCTTTCGCTTATGCCAGAGCCAGAGGTATCTTGTAGTTTTTATATCACTCACAACAATGAAACTCCCCATAAATTGTCATCGACTCCTTTTAAACTTTTGGTATATAAATTTTTCAAAACGATTGCGGAAACTTAGTAAGGATTATTAAGAGAATCTTATTAGATCCTATTTATAGATATTTATATTAGCATTTTAAAAAATAAACAAAACAGGTTCTGATAGAATGTCATCTTATGGGGATTTTATAGCACTATCCGATACATGCGACTTTATAACGGCCAAAATAATATCCAGAGAAGTTATATTTAATTAAATTTATTAATATAATTGACGGAATGACTCACAAGGGATGTGGTAATTTGGGCCCTCACATCTGGCCCATTGGTGTTCTTGAGAGGGAGGGATCGACGATGGTCGTTATTAGGCGAGGTATCAGATATAGAGGGATCCATTTTCTTTCTTGGTTTAGAATCCTATTAATAATAGTGCTTAGAATAAATGTAAAAAAAACATGGCAAACGAGGAAATCCTTTTAAATTATCCTTTTTAATTTAACAACCTATTTGATGCATTGTTATTTCCACTGTAACTGCATCCATATAAAACCTAAATTAAATAATAATCAGCCGTTAAGAAAAATAATCGTTAGGAGTAAACCTCTGATGGGTTCTGCCCCTTTCAATAAAACAAAATATAACCCTAACTAAAAAATTATTTAAAAGTACTTAAGGGAACCATCCCTATCGAAGTACGAAAACAAATATTTGTTATAAAAGGAAACATTTTATTAAGCTAATTTTTACATAATTTTATCAAGGGATTATATCAGAGAACTGCGGAAGTACTAATTGTCCGCCTGGCCCGGTTTGTTAAAAAAATATTTTTAGGCCCGGCCCCGATTTAAATTATTTTTTATTTTTAGGCCCAGCTCGATTTTTATATTTTCAGGCTATGCCCATATTATTTAAAGAAAAATTTCGGGCCTGTTTTTTTAATAAAATATACCAATTCAGCATTCCATTTGTTTTTTCAGCGAATATTTTGCAATTTATGTTTTATAATGTATATTTTTGATTTACTAAAAATATTAATTATAGTCAATGTAATATATCATTATATGATATTATTTTAAAATATATTATATATTTATTATTACACATGATAATGTCGAACAATATTCGGCCCACCCTGAGATTTACAATTTTTGGGTTGGCCCGGCCCGAGTTTATAGGAAATGGCCTGACCTTGGTTGTTGAATTTTTTTTCTAGGCCCGGACTTGGCATATTTAACTTTTTTTGCCAAGTTTTAGTCTGGTGCACGTCTCTGATACAAACTATATAAAAAAAGCCTTTATATAATATTTTTCTAAGCAATTGCAACAAGAAATAAATACTCTCTTTGTAATTTACACAAAAATAGTCCTTTAAATTTTTAAAAAAAGTCTGCCTGGACCCCTTAATTTTTTTTGTTAGTATTTTCCGGCCATCACGTTTTTAATATCTATATCTAATTTTATTTCCTCTATGTTTTTGATATCTGTATCATGTATTTTTAATTGCATCATAAAAATAATTTGCTTATTTTTTTGTAAATTTATATTTAGTGTTGTTAAACGGTTCGATTTAAGCCAATTTTAAAAACGTATAATTCAATATTTTATCCAGAAAAATATCTCAAGCCTGAATATTTTGCTCATAGATGGCCCAATGGTCTAGACTAGAGGTCTGCATTGGGCGAAGTTTCGGTCCGCCCACCAACGCCCTCCCATCTAAGTGGGCGGGTTAAGAAATTTAAATTTTTTGTTCAAAAACAAATAAAGAAAAATCATATAAATGATCAATAATAATATTTCTTTTTTTAGTTCCAATCGTTTTTTTTAAGTGAAGAACACTTTACTAGTTTTTCTACATCTTTATCTAATTCTTCACACCATATATAATGTCTCGTAATGGATTTCATTGATTTAATACCCGGATGTCCCGTATGCAATATATGTAAAACTCTTTTTTGAAGTGAGTACGAATGATTGATCTGCCATTCCAAAATAAAATACCGTCATCATTTTCTATTTCATCTATTATTGTTCTAAAAGCTTGTAATTCTGGTGCTTGATTTTGTATATTTGTACATTTCTTAAAATTGGATCTTTTGCGGTTTCCTCTCTAAGTTCTTTTCTTGAGAGAGTTAATGTGTCATAATTAAGATTTCCTATATTTTTCACTGTTTTATTTTCGCTTTCTATCATCATTTTTTTCTATTGGGTTTCGCGATAAAGCATCTGCAATTATATTATTAGCGCCATTCTTGTACATTATATCATAATCATATGCAGATAATTTATAAGCCCAACGTAATAATCTTTGGTTTGTTAATGAGCTTAAATCTCTGCTATTACCAGGTTTGTGGTCTGTTCATATTTTAAATTTTGGTCCATACAAATAGTTATGAAATTTTTCTACGCCGTTTATTATTGCTTTTGCTTCTTTGTCTATTTTAGAATAATTCTTTTCAGAGTCTTGATTCTTGAGGTGTAAGCTATTGGAAATTTGTTACCATTATCATATTTTTGCATGAGTCCAGCTCCAAATCCTTGGTTAGATGCATCTGTTTCTAATATTAACTCGAGGTTCGGTTTATAAAACTGTATAGTTTTTGTTCTGTTACTATTCCGCAGGGATCCGAACCGAACCATTAAACCGCTAAAAACCGGTATTTTTTATTGAACCTGAACCGAACCTGAACCGCTAAAAAATTTCTAGCCTAACAAAACCGAACCTCTAAAATCCCTCTGAACCGGTTCGAGTCTCATAATTTTATATTTATAAAATAATGTGTAAGTTATTACTAGTATATTGCAAAAATTTAAATATATTCGAATTGTTTTAAAGATTATTATCAATCACATTTGATTGATAAGTGTCAGTCATAATTTTTATAAACTTTTGTATATTGCCATTTTACAACATTTTTAAAATATTTTAAGCTTATAAATTATGATGACTAGAGAAAAATTAAATCCAATTATAAATTATTTACATATAGTATTATAAATGACACATCAAATCTGATATACTACTGGCAGTGCCAGCTACCCAAATTAGTATGGAAAGATGTTTTTCAACTATTAAATTTACATTATCTTCTTATAGATGTAATTTGAGTGAGATGAATTTTGAAATTGTGCGGCTTAATAAAAAATTTTTAAATAATTGTTCATATTAAAATTAATCATTGATATTTGTTATATTTATAATTTAAATGTTATTTTTTAAGGAAATGAAGGTTTTATATATGTGTTTTTTATTTTAATTATGAAATAAAAAAAATTCTTCCCTATAAATAATTCGAATGTAGGTTTGAATATAAAAGTGTTCAAACCGGTTTTAAAAGTTCGAACCGAACCTATATTTTTATTTTTTGCGACCCGAACCTAAACCTTGAACCGTTAATTTTATCCGAACCTGAACCGAACCGATATTCGTTTCGGTTTGGATCCCTGCATTCCGAATAGCATGAAAACGATTACAAAAATAGCATGATGTTTTATTTTGGAATGGCAGATTAATCATTCCGTACTCACTTCAAAAAAGAGTTTTACATATTTTGCATACTGGACATCCGGATCTTCTTAAGGAAGAAGATATATTTCAAACGGATATCCTACTTTGGTGGAAACGACAAGAAAGAGATTTGCCAAAGCTATCAAGAATAGCAAGAAAAATATTGGCAATTCCTGCAACTAATGCTTCTTCTAAACGAGGATTATGCATTGCTGGAAGGTTTTCAGAACAAAGAAGAACGTGTTTGAATCCCGAAAATGTCGATTCATTATTATTTTTGCATTATAATTACATATAATATCAATTTTATATTTATATTTTTTTCATAAATATTCTATTTGATCAAATAAATTCTCCATAATTTAAATTAATTATTTTTTTTATAAAATTTATTGCCTAAATTATAAACTTTTTGTAAAGGTGTAATGCTGAAATATTTTTATTAAATGCTTAAAAAATTGAAAGAATGGCCATAATTAAATTTATAAGCGTTAAAAAAAACCCGCTCGCCCAGCCCGCCCATAGTTTTCAAAAATATATATACCCGCCCGCCCCGCCCATTTGTCTAAAATTCTTACCCGCCCGCCCATTAGTCCAAAATTTTTAACCCGCCCGCCCATTATTTTTTAATCCAAGCCCGCTTATAATTTATAATCAAATTTGTGTTATTAGAAATTGTCAATATTTTATAGTCACTAGTTCTAATAAATTTATAAAACTTAAGAAAAAGATTCTTAAATAACTGAGAATAATTCTAACCCCCTTTTCCCCCCATAGCGAATTCCTGCATACGCGCCTTTTACTATATATTATATTTATATTTTATAAATTGATTTTATATAATAAAACGTATTATTTAAAATATTTCTTAAATTTTAATTTTAACGATTATACTACCATAAAAAAATAAATTTTTAAATATTCCTTTAAATAACTTTTCTTAACGAAGGTAAAGAAAAACGTAAAAAAAGTTTCTAAAGTAAAATAAAAAATACACAAAGGAGAAGAAAAGAGGAAATATTAATAACTAAGAAAAGTTTCCTGACAAAAATAAAAAGCTCCAATTCACAAATGTTTTATTTATCTTTCCTAAAATTTGATATATGCAAATTTTTCATCTATATTTTTTAATATTTTAATCATTTAAATAAATATGTAATATAATTTATAAGATAAATACATATAAATTACTATTACCATATAGGTTTCAGATGGCATAATTGCACCAGATTTTACTCAAGAAGCTTTGGAACTTTTATCTAGGAAGAAAAATGACGGATATTGCATATTAAAAGTTTATAAATATTTTTTTTAAAAATATTGTATGCATTGCAGAACCATGAGTAGCAATGTAATTAGTCTGTGATTAGCCATCTTAATGGTTTGCTTTAAATAGAATTTGATCGTCACTTATTTGGCTTAATTTTTTCCTTAATAATGTGATAATTTTAAGGAATTCCTCACTAAAAACACCAAGAGTATTGGTGGCAGATTAGATAAAATATGTTAGCAATGTCTGAATATTTATTTATTTTCAAGATTCTCTGCTAAACTAATTGCTGAGGCATTTCTGTCGAATCATGCCGAAAAATTTATGTAAGTGTAATTCGAGCAACTGAAGACCAGGGTATTAAACTGATACCATTGGGTCTTGTAATGTTCCTTGAGCATAAGATGATTGGATTCTACGGTATTGGGATACTGGCCCTTTTAAGAGCTTTTAAGATTAAGTATGTTTGTATGGCATGGGCGGTGACCTTTAGAGAATCTTCAATGTAAAAGATGGTAGTATTCTTTGAAATAAGATTCTGGTCTTCCATTTTCTCGGGATTACACTTGTATCGATTTTGATAGCAGTAAGTTTAGCAAAAATCTTGTAAATAAATAAATGTTTAGACATCGGTAACGTATTTATCCCACTTGTCACCAATAATCTTGGTGTTTTTGGTAAGAATTCTTAAATTTATCCCATTATTAGGGAGAGAATTAAGCCATTACGATGGGTATTATTCAAAGTAATTGCATTGCTATCCATAGTCTAGCCTCGAAGTAACCCTGTCTCACCTTTGCTATTACCTAATTTAATTGTTTTTTTAAATTTATATTATATAGTTTTTTTATGTGTACTTTGTTTTAAATTCTATTAAATATAAATAAATAAATGAAGATTGTTTTGAAAATTTATATACTAATTGCTTTAAAGCTTAATCAATTTATAATTATGTGTATAAATGTTATTAGATGGATCCTACTTATGAACCGGAAGTTATGGAACGAAAAATCCTGTATGGTTTAACCCTGGAACAACCTAGAAATAAAACTAAAATCGATAAAAATTTCTTTTCACAAATAATGTCGAAAAATATAGAAGTAATTTGATAGTTATTTTTTAATTTCCTTATTTCAACTGCATTTAAAAAAATGAACATAACTATTTAAGGCACGACTACACACCACACCAAGTTTGGTATGGTTTAAACTTCATCTTATATTTTGAAAATATCTGGTTACAACTGAAAAAACAAAGATAAGTAATGGTTTGAACAAGCTTGTTAAGCTATCCTTCTAAAAGGATCGAATTCCGATTTTTTAAAATGAATCGAAATTTAGGATCTACTTTTTTTTAAAAAGGATAATGATACTTTTTTTATTTTATAAATTTCTGAAGAAAATTTATGCTCGATACAAAATTAACTAATAGAAAAATAAATTAAATATAGTGTAAATTTATTGTAATAGAATTATTTAACAATAATAATATATTTATAATCAAAATTACCTTTTAATAATAAAATTTTTTGCGAAATTGTTATCATTCAAACATCCCCATCTTTTAAGTTAGCTTTATATAATCGCTCCACCTGCAGGTTTTTCAAATGGGTAATTAATCTTTCTTCTAAGAAATAATAATTAACATTATTATATGTAGCTGAAGAATAGGTAAACGGTCTCATTTTTATCTGCCACTTTAATAACTGTACGTGTATTATCTTTTAATCTATAATAGACATTAGTAAGAACCTAAAATAATTTATTTTATTTATAACTCAATAAAATTTTTATTTAAAACTTCTTTATTTAAAAAAATATTTATATATTGAAAAAAAATTCATATAAAACATAAAAACTAATAAAATTTGTAGGTTGCAAATCAAATTCTTAAATTGTCTTGATAAAATTTATTAGAAAAAATAGAAAATATGGCGAAGGATGCTAAAATATAGTGGAGTTATTTAGGTTTTTTTTAAAAAATAATATTTTAATTTTATTTATATACTTTTTAAGTAAAAAAAATAAATTTTTAAAAGGATGATTATTTAAAAAAATCACTATCCTCAATTTAATTGAAAATTAAAAATCCGGGTAAATTCTCAAAATTAAGATCGAATCCAAGATCGTCGAACTTTTGATCTATCTTTTAATAACTCTGGGTTTAAATATAGAATAAAAAACAAGTAAAATCTAATTTTTTTAGAAATTTGTTTACATAAAAACGATAGCTGAAATTGTAAATGAATGAATATTTTTATAAATATGTAACTATAATTGAAATAAAATATGTTATAACAACAAAATTTCAAAAGAAAACATTTAGAGCTCTCAATTACTCCTTCTTAGGCATCATCATCTAAATTTATTTGATTAGGCAGATAATTCTAAACCATTTTATCTATTATAATTATAATTGTTAACATGATTATTCATTATATTTAAAACGTAGTTGTTTCATTATTTTTCGATAATTCTCCTTTATTCCTCTAAATGCACTTTATATGCTTGAACGAAGAAATTATTTTTTTCAAAATCAACATTTCTCTAATTATATTGAATAAAGCCCTCCCTCCCCCCCTTTTTTTTATCAGGTGAGATAATATTTAAAAATCAATAACGTTAAATAATAAAAATTGTAGAATTTTTTTTTAACAATTAGGAAATCATGGTGAGAGATATAGCTATTTACTAGAACACCAATAGCCACTTCCAACTATTTATAGTAGCAGTTATTTTATTATATAGGATAAAGTAAATTTTTGGGCACATTTATAGTTTTATTTTGTTAAATACTTTTTTCTTTAAAAATTCTGACTATTCACCAGTTATTGCCTCATTTAAGTGATATTAATATTTTTGAACATTCTTTTCACCAATATCATTTTTCTTTCAAATATTACTGCATCATTATAAAACACAAAGGGATATATGAGAAATTTGTGTGGGAGAATAGGCTTCTCAAAACGTTTGTGATTAAATTTAAACCTAATTAAAACTTTGTATCATGCATAAATTTTTATATTTAATATTAATTTCTGCAATTTGTTGTTGCCTTTACCTTCATTTGCGTAACCCATTTTTCCTGAGTATTTTAAAAATGTCATTCATGACGAGTTGATTAATGAAATTATTTCTCATAATCTATAAACAGTTATCTGATGCTGCTTTGAGTGATTTGATAATAGCCACAATATCCCTAAAATTTACTCAATCAAATTCTGTGTGTTATGCCAAAGATGGTCAGACTATAGGGATAGGAGCAGGTCAACAATCGAGGATTCACTGCACCAGATTGGCCGGAGATAAAGCTGACAATTGGTAATATATAAATAAGTATTGTTCATTAAGTTTTCTTTTAGTTTGTTAAATTATTTTAATAAATATAAGATTTGAAAATATATTTTGAATATTCTTTATTTCGAGCCTCTCAAAAATTAAATTTATATAATTTTTTTTTCTGCAAAAGAATTAAAATGACCTATTTTGTATTTAATAAATTTGGGTTTAGTTACTAGCGTTAATTTTTTTTTTTTGAAATTACATTTTTTAACTATCACATTTTTGCGAAAATATAATTATTGTAAATTCTTATATTTTTGGAATGTAACGACTAAAATTATTTACTATTTAATTTATTAAATAATACATTATATTTCATTATCATCATCTGATTCAACATTTAAAATGACTACATTAAATATAATGTCTCGCTTACATTAAGGCGCTTTTATAGTTTATTTAGTCTAGGTATTTTTGGAGAAAACTAAGTGTGCCTTATAAATCAAATTTTGAGAATAGTGTATTTCTAAGGTCAAATAAAAATTTATCAAGCCCAATTTTGTACGAAAATATATATTATATTGGGATAGTATGACAATTTTTTCAATTCAAATAAATCTTTTTTTAGTGCAATTGTTTCTATATTCAAATTTATTTTTACTTAAATTCCTTTGGTTTAAATTTTTCGCAAAACTATTATTTATAATAAAAAATGTATAAATAATTTACGTATTGTTACTTTTCAAAAGTATATAAATACTTTCTTAGTTAACAGATTACATCCGCTATTTTTAGTAAGATTTGACAAAAATCAAACCAAATGTTAATTTAATTTTTTTTTCTCTTTAGCTTTCACCTGGTGGTAAGCTCCTTCAACATCTCTCTCCACTTTATGTTATTCATACAATCTCTTATCTAATTTATACTTCTTTATATTGGCTCTAACTTTATGGCCCCATTGAAGTTTTGGCCTTCCTCTTTTACGTTTGCCCATCACTTCCAAACTCTCAACCTTATTTCCTATGTAGTTCATAGGCCTTCTCATTGTGTGCCCATACCACCTAAGTCTGTTTACCATTAACTTAGTTTTAATGTTAATTTAATACATGTATATTAATATTTAAACTTTTAATCCTTAAATTTTATAATAGGTGGTTACGGCATCATCCAAAAGTTTTAGGGCTGAAATTTAAAGAAGGCACTAAAAGAGCCGAAAAAATTAATGCCATTGATGCTTACATTACTCAAGAGATAGAGGTATCTAATTCTATTTAAATGAATGTTTATAATATAATGTTTATGAGGGAAAATGTTATCTCTATCTCCTATTGGTATTAATTCTATTAACTAATTCAATCAATTCCACTTATTAATAATATAAAAAGTTTATTAAGCTAACGTAATATCATATGATACAGAATATTACAGATCAACAATGGTGTAAGGTTTTGAAAGAAATTCCTCAAGAACTGACCTTAGTAAAATAATCATTATAATTTTACGTTTTGAATTTCTTTATTAAAGCACGAAAAAGTGGAGTGGAATAAAAAATTGAACGGTGTAATCCTTAGTTCAGATGCATTTTTTCCTTTTAGAGATAGTATTGATAGAGCTGTAAATGTGAGTCTATCATAATATTATATAAAAATCATTGCTTATTTTAAATTTCAAAATATCGTTATTTAAAAAATCTTATAAATAAAATTTATTTTTATTCAAAAAGATATGAGAATGCTAATTTTTAAATTAGAAGTTGTCTATTAAATTTTATTAACAATTTACACGAATAATTAATAACGTTTTAGCCTTTTAAATTAGGGTATCAGTTTTAAATTTCTAATCCCTCGGTAAACGGCTTATTATATTAAGTTTTATACGTTATAAATTTCTTTACTAAAAAAATATTTAGTCTGGCGTTGAGTACATTGCAGCTCCATCAGGTTCTAATAATGACAAATCTGTTATAGATGCTTGCAATAATTATGGAATAACTTTGGTTTTTACCCACGAAAGGTTGTTTCATCATTGAATATAATTAATTTTTTGTAATGATTTTATAAATATTATAATAATTCCAAATCACTCATGTGATATTACACGCATTATTTTACAATAATATTTGATTCTTATAAAAAAAAAATATGATTATAAAATAAATTTGCATTGTTGGAATAAATAGTTTTGTAAAAAATGTATACATAATAAATACATAGTTTTGATATAATCATAAAAATTATAGAATAATTTTAAGTTTCATTTTTAATTTGTGACAACATTTTCGTAATTTGTCGATTTGAACTATATATAAGATTTATAAGACGGACTATTTAAGATTGTATCCTCCCCAAAAATTTCATGCTTTTCTAATTTTCAATTAAAAATGATCAATAAAATTAACAATTAAAATACCTGTTAATTCTTCGATGTTGAAATCTGGTTTATTAGAAAGGTGAATAGGAACAGATTTGGAAGAAATTAAACTTGATTTTTTACTAGAAAATTTTTTCCTATAAAAAAACGAATGTGATGTGCCTCTTTTACGCAAAACTGGAATCTAATTATTTTTAAAAAAAATCTGAAAAATAATTGCTATTAAAAAAAATTAATACATTTTCTATGATAATTTAAAAAAGATCATTCTATAAAAACGTAAATGGAATTACAAGTTCCCAAAAAACAATTTTAGAGTATTTGGGGATGATTAATTCTATTAACGTAATTTTGATAATGATTTTTTAAATTTAATTACAGTAATAGGCAAGTAGTTATGAGCAGAGGCGTACCAATACCAAGGCTAGTCCTAAAATTTTTACCCAAATTTATTGTAGTAAAGATTTTTTTTATATAAAACAAACTAACTTTTTTTTGTTATTTACTAATTTATTTTATTAATCTTGGTTCAAATATGCCATAAATGAATGGCCTGACTTTTTCCAGGTGATGAAAATGCTTAATTTTTTCAAATATTATTTATTTTAGTCTGAAATTCTAAAAAACCCTAAAATTACCCTAAATAGGAAATTTAAACCGTTACAAGATCATTTAAAAATATATATAAAATTTCAAAATTTATTTGACAACTATATCAATAAAATGATTTAGGCATTTTTTAAAAATTCTAATTAGAATTGTAGAGCGTTTGTTATTTATTTATTGTTCATTTTCAATTTTCACTTAAAACAATTTACAATTTTTTAAAAATATTCTATTGGATCAAGAATCACAGAATGAAAATACAAAATATTTGAATTCGGGTCAGGCTTAAAATTCGGCCTGGTAGGTCTCTGATACCCTACTTATACTTTATTTATTATTAGTAAAAAAATATTTCAACATTGTACAAAAGATTTTAAAATTATCTCAGTGCTGCTAGATCCCACCACTCTCGAAGGTTTAAAATAAATAATTATATAGGAATAAAAAAATGAGATAAACCTAATCCAGGGTCATCTTTTCCCTCTGGATCAGGAGATATTTTTGTATATATATTAACGCATTTATTTTAAAAAAATGATTTATAAATCATAAAAAAATTTTTTAACATTATTTTGATTAGTAATTGAAAATAATTAATAAGGTAGTTACAACACAAAAAAAATAATCTCTAGGTGAATAATATATTGGATACTGTTGATTAATCATATTTATTTTACTGATATTTTCATTGAATTAAATTTACATCATGTATAAGAGAGTTAATAAATATATATAAAATCCAACATCGAACATGGTTTTTAGGATTTAGCACAGATGAAGAAATTAAACCCGGTAGATCTCTAAAAAAATCAATAAATTTTGGGTTTGTTCTTTAAAAATATAATTTTTTAATAGTAAATTGTTGAGATTTCGACTCAATAGAGATAAAAAGTATCGGCCTTGATATCGATGCATCTCTAGCTAAGAGATAAGAAGCTATAATTCTGCAAATATTGCATTGGTCCTTTTTTTTAAATTTTTTTATTAATTGTGTTTTTATCTATTAAAGAATTTGTTTTTAAACTGTATAAATGAAAGTTTTTTACATTATGGGATAAGCTTCTAAATATTTTTTAAGTATCAAATAAAAGTACATGAACTTTGCAGAAATTTAGTGGAGTATGCAATAGAGGGATAGAAAAATAGTTGCAGTAACAATTTTAAAATCTTTGAAGGGTTTAACCCATTACTTCTGAAGGGTTAAAAGATTTTAAATTGAGCTAACTTAATAAATTTTAATATTCATTATGAAAAATAACCTATTATTTACCCTTTTCGTTAAATTCATTTTTTTAAAGTTGCATATACTAAATGCTTAAGATAATATGTATTGCTCGCTGAGTATACTAATTAGCTAAGATCCTTTTGGATTTAGAAAATTAATTTATTTCTAAGTGAATACTTACTCACCAACCATTTTGATAAAATTAACTGCTACGAATCTAGGACTATTCAAGCATTATACGTCATAATTATATTAAATTAGCTTTTGATTAATTTCTTTTGGAGACAAAAAAATGCATGCAGCATTTCTCGTGCTAAATCCAATGTAAAATGTGAAATATCGATTTGTAAAATAGAAGAAGTATATGTTACTTGCATGTATATAAATGATTGGCGACCATCCAAATTATAAAAAAATTAAAATAAATTTCCTACATCCAAAGAGGTTGTAAACTCATCCTCGTGACATCGGACCTTCGTTATTTAAAATCAAAGTGCGATATTTTACAAAATTTGGAAGATGACAAAAAACGTAATATAAAGGGGAAAAATATATTAACATAAAGACTGAATAATTTAAAAACAATTATGAAAATGATATCTATAACCTTCAAATAATAAAATATTTAAATTGAATTCAGAAAACGTAGCCAAATATTCGGCCATTATAATTTATGAATATTATTTCTTTTCTCTGTAAAAAATTGTTATGATCTACTTAAGGTATTTTAAACTTAGTGACAACGTTCTTCATTTGAATAAAATGTTAGAATCAAAATTGTTCAAAGATTTACAAATAAATTAAAAATTTTTATATAAAATAATAAGATATGGTTTCATTAGATAAGACGAATATTTGAACCATTACCAATTATTTTTATAAGTTTCTTAAAACGTGATCAAAATTTAAATACCTGTGTAAATGGTTCGAAATGTGATAATTTTGATGAGTAACAAAGATCATTTGCAAAATTTAGTGAATGGAATTTGGGATCATTAAAAGAGCAAAGCGAATCCGAGACACCCTTCAAACCATGATTTAAATTATTTTTGAGCATGTTACATTTCCCATTCATTTCAATATCAACATTATCCTTGTCTATTGCATTATCATATTTATTAAATGTGCCATTCTTTTCAAGTCGATTTTCACACTTGTCAATATCGCTTATATCATCTTTATGTTGCATACCTAATTCGATAGGGTCTTGGAAATATATATAACTTATATTTATTGTATATTATATGCCTGCTAAATAATCCTCATATTCTTGCAGAACGTCTATTCCAAAAAAAGCCATTAAATGAGCATAACATTTGGAATCTGCAAAAACGATTGCTAGTCCAATCATAATTGATTGGATACCTGTTATATGTTATATAAAAATTATGTTGTGCTAAAAATTGAGTTTTTTAATATAACTAATAAGGTTAGTTGCTCATATAATAATTAATATACGCTGACCTAAATAGAACGTAGTCCAAAAACTGATTCCAAATGAAAATTGTAAAATTGAATCGCCTAAGTGTATGTGTAATGGAACAGGACATTTGACTAACCAAAACACAAAATTTGCTGTTAATAAACTTAGACCAGTCAATATCCAAAAGAAGCCACTGTATTTAATACATATGTACACCAAAATGTTTGCAAGTAACCAAAATGGCAGGGAGAGCCTTATAGATATATGGGGAAAAAGAGTAAAATTAATTATACAATAACACGAATTGAATGAAAAACAGATTTAAATTTTAAATTTCATGGTGTGTCTAATAAATTATTACCAAATCAATATATGGCTATAATAACCGGCTAAACGATAATGTCTACCCCATCTAATTTTTTCAGCATCCATTAAAAAATATTGTGCGACCCAGAGTATGGGTGTGGGCGTGCCTCTTATTCGCGCCTCGTTATATTGACCAATAAATTTCCCTGATATGGGGGAATGATAGTTTTGAACCCCTTGTTCCCATTCCCACCTGAAAGCTTCGTTATAGTGTATATGGCTTAAAATGATATTGATATTGTGTTTTTGACTAGATCTTTGGGACGCATTAGTTAACGGATTAGTTGACGAGTTTGCATTAAGATAAAATTGACTCATATGATTAGACTTGATTTTTGATTGAGTAATTATGGCTGGGTCTATATTTTTTAATAAAGCATACAAGAATGTATAAATTAACATATATATACCTATCCCCTTCAACGAAACGTTAAACCCTCGCAACCCAATATGCACAGAAATTTGGCAAATTATATTTTTCTTCGAGGCAACGCTAAAAGTGGTAGAGGTTATAATCGAAGCTGTTTCCCAAGAGTATGAGTAATTACATACTGTATATAAATATATAAAAAAATTCTTAAATTGATATTTTTGTAAATTTTTAAAATGTTTAGATTTTTGATGTGTATATTTATAATATTATATTTTAAAAAATTAATAAATAACATGGTAAAAAATAATGTTAAATAAATAGAAAGCTTATATCCATCATCTGTTTAAATTGCTCTTAGTTTTCTCGATCTCAGGGCTTTTCTTAATTAATCTTTCGGGTAATTAATATGATGGTTCGGGAATTTTATATGCTACGCAAGTGCAGAGAATTGGCTTTTTGTTATATGATATTGTGACTTAATTTTGTTTTGATTGTGCGCCAGGTTTGACTTACGGATAAATAAAACAATAGTTAAGCTTCCTATGTGGAGAATAGAAATAATTAAGAATCACATTAATTTTACTAATTGCCTAATCTTTGACAAAGATAACTTCCTAAAAAATTGATTAGGGAAAGCATCGAATCGTTAAAACTAAAAACAATTTGAACAGGGAGGATGTATTTAACCTCCCTATCAAATGGAAGAGCTTATTATCCCCTATCAATGTCATTAATATACTGTAGATGACCATTCATTCATTAAAATACATATAAAAGTATACATATATAAGAGTCGGCTGTCGACCATGATTTCTGTGATTTGGGGCTTCGAACTCGTTAAATATAAGGTGCAGTTTCAAAACTAGATCAAATTCGTTAGCCCGGTTTGGTTCAAAGTGGGTTGGGTCAAATAAATTAATTTAGAATCCAAAAGCGTCAATCAAATTATAAAAATCAAATATTTAATTTTTGAGAATCTAAATTTAAAGGCTATTTATAAAGGTATATAATATTTTATTCAAAACTACACTAAAACAAAATACAATATTAATGTCTCAAATATTGATTATCATTTTAATAATATACATAATTCGATGTTTATAATTTTAATACAGGAATCCGTGGCGTCAGTAAGGGGTTATAGGACTCGAGCATTATCAAAATTTTGGAAATAACTCTCAAAAATTTAAAAATTCAATTGACAAAAATTTTAAAAAAAAATACAAATAAAGTAAAAAATATTAGTTTTTGCTTATTTATAAAGATGGTGACTATGAGTACCCAATTAAACTAAAAAGTCTAATGACGCCCCTGATAGGGCATATGTGATATGATATAAATAATGGGAAAAAAAATGATAAAATAAATTCTATTTGCATAATTATATCATATTTGAAAATTAAAATAAAAAAAGCAATTTAATTTTAAAAATATTCGCCTGAATCTGAAATTGAAAATGGGTTAAGTTTACAAATAAATTCATCAGAACCTGGTTTCCAGCTATGAGTTCAGTTCGGTTAAAAGTCCTGAATTGACTAAATGGCATTTATGTTTTTATTTTAAAAAAAATATTCTATTTTAATTCGATATAAATGAAAAATGTCATTTAATCGGTTCCCGTTCTAAATCGCTTAAAATAAAAAAATAAATTGGGAAATTCACTTATATCTCATAGAAAATTTTTAAAGTAGTTTTAAAAATAATATAATAGATGATAAGGAAGTAAGCGTTCGGATTTAAATTGAGTTGTTTTTAAAAAAATTGCTAAAAATGGGATAATACCAAAAGAAACTCCATTTCCCATCTTTAGCCATTTTTTCAAAAATTCAATTTAAATACGAGTGTTTATTTTTCTACCATCAATTAATATTATTTTCAATATTACTTAAAAAATTTATAGGAGATAAGCGAGATTCTCACTTTTTAGGGATCCGATTTCATTTAATCTCCGTGTAGACTACAAAATAGAATCTATAGCTAATTTATTTTGCCTATTTCTCTCAGTTAATGTTAATCAGTACATAAGGTTGTGTTGAACAATATGTGACTTTTCCTGTTTGGATCGCCACTGCCAATTTTTATATTATATTAACCCTACCTCCTAATATATTCACTTTTCTACCTCTCTAACCCCTATCTACCTACTCGAGGAGGTTGATTTAGTTTAAAATTAAAAGCGACCTTCTACGCTTCAACAGGGATTTATATCTTTGAGCTATAATGAAACTTAAAAATGTAACAAATCTTTTCATATACATATATTATAATCATAGGTGGCACAAGCTATCAAAACAAAAAAATGCAAAACACCGATAACGCAAAACTATTAAAATATGTACTGTTTAACATAACCCATTTCTTTCATTATTTATGTTAGAATTTATTTTTTATCCTAAATTTTCTTTAATTTTATGTTTTCTTGACAATAATAACTAAAATGTTGTTTAAACGTCGGAATAAATTTTAACTTAATTTCTCATTAAATGTGTTATGCCATTAAAACGACAGCTTCACAGGTGGCGGCGTATCGATTTAGACGCCACCACAAAAATAGGCGGCGGCGTCAATTTTTCTAACTTATATTTTTTTAATTAAAATTATAAATTTATTGGAAACACTTTTAAAATTTTTTTTTGCTTTATTATGCAAATTTCGAATTAAAACTATAATTTAACGATTTTTAACTTATAATTATCATGTATAAATATTATTTTATTTAGATTTATAAGATATAATGATGATCTTTTAGAGTTCAGAGTGAGCCCAGCTATGAAAAATACACGTTCGCTGGGTGTACTTGTAGCTGGACCATACAGGGCTATTCTAACTAATATTGAAAGCTTAGGAAGATGTGATGCTATTATCTTCCAAAAATCTTAGACATCTTCTATCTCTAAACTATAAGATTAAAACAAAGAATAACACCTTTTTTAAGACTAGTTATGCTATATTTGAATGTTTATATATATTTTAAAAGGTTACGCTATTTGAATTATATAACTTTCTTACATTTAATATTATCTTATGGAGGTCAATGTAATTGCATATTAGTAGAAGTTAAATTGGATAATTATATAAATGTATATATACCAAAAGAATTATAAATAAAATTCATTATCGTTTTTTAAACTTTAATCGATTTAATAAGTTAAATAGTCTTGTTCCAGATTTTTGTGATAAATTGATGAATGTTTGATAGTTAATATCTTTAGATAATCGAATTCTGAAGCAACTTCTGTGGTTTCACATTCGGTTAATGACAACAGAGGTAGCTATCATCTTTATCCAGCATTATTTGCAAGAATTTACAAAAGAGTTTATTTGGCGTAACATTGGTTCTCTTATTATTTGTATCAGTTTTAATATGAAGGATCCAAAATGTATCGAGGTAAAAGATTTTGCTGCAAGGATAAGGATATAATGTAGTTGTTACAAGATTTTATAATGCTGTATCCATTATATATGTTAGTCCTGCTATATTTATATATATGTTATGATGGCAATAAAATAAAAATCAAAAATAAATTTTATATGATAAGGAGTTGTGGATTGCACTAAGAAAATATTGTATTACTCCTTATATAAATGATGGTCTTACACAAAAGTTTTGACAGATCAAATCATTGACTCAAAATTATAATCTATACTAACTATATACAGAATACAGATGATAAAATCTTACCTTTTTAAAACTTATTTAAAATAAATCTTTTTAGGATTAACGAAGGAATAGGATTAATTAAAATAAGAAATATATAATAATATTTCAATTAGTGATCTGCATCGGGCCTAATTTTTCGAGCCCGGCCCGAAATTTTTTTTAGAAAAGTTTTGCCGGCCCGGCCCGAACCCGAAATTTTTTTTAAAAAAATTTACCGACCCAGCCCGGCCCGAATTTATTTAAATATAGAAATTAATCTTTATAATTACTCAAAATAAGATATATGTTATATGTAGTTTAGTTTCAATAAATAAAATCAAATATTTTTTTACATAAAAAATTCAATATAAAATTGATAAATTTAGATATATTTAAAAAAATATCCAAGGTCCGACCATACCCGCCCCGAATTTTTTTTTAAAATATTAGGCCCGACCCCGAATTTTTTTTAAATATTAGGCCCGGCCCGAACCCGATTATTTTAAATAGAATTAGGCCCGACGGGTAACTTTGCAGATCTCTAATTTCAATACCTTTTCTGTATTAATCACAAATAAAATGTTATAACAAATATTATTTAATAATTTTAAAAATTAAAATCGCATTTTTAAATAATTTTAAATATATTTATAATATTATTTTTCTTCAAATTATAATTCATAAATATATAAATAATATTTTTAATAATAAAAAATATCCATCACGCCGTCATGTCACCAGATTTTTACATCAGCGGCGGCGTGTTGAGCGCCAACAGTTTTTGGCGGTGGCGTCGTGAGCGGTTTATTGGCTCTGCGGGGCACAGGTCAAAATATAGATAATTAATAAATAATAATATTTTGCCTATTATCACCATCATTAAGTATTTGAAATTTTTAGAGACTGGTAGAAAATTAGTATGATTTTAAAATCTGGGGAAAATTATTTAGACTGACCAAATTTAAAAGTCAAAACCGAGGAAAATGGGGAAAAATTATATCTGGACCAGGCGTGAAAATGGGCAGCCTATGATTCATTTAAATATTAAAAAAAAATTATCATTATGGCTAAAATTATGAAAAAAGAACATTTGCTTGATTTGATGATAAAATGTCTATGGCAAAATATATAAATTAAATGTCATTTTATATGTTAAATTTTTTTTTATCGTGACATAATTATATAGTGAGGTTATATAAAGGAATAATAAAAGAAGTTATTTCAAGTAACAGGTTTAATTTATTTCATTTTTTTTATTAAAAAAAATTGATATTAATTTTTTAGGATTCGTGACAAAAATTAACAATAACTTCTTTTCAACTGATAAATCCATGCGTAAATTTTTGGAATTAAAGTATTTAATCAAGTCCAAGGTAAGAAATATCCAAGTTCAGGGTTAACTATACAATTTAATATTCCCAATAAAATATATCGTGTAAACAGAATTCCAAGAAAATAAATATAAAAAAAATTATTTTTTTGAAATCGACTTTTTTTTTAATTGTCTTTAATCATTTTTATTTATTTATGTTAAAAAGTGAGAAAAACATGCCTGCACTTTAAATATAAAAATTGATCCATTGTATTATTTAATGAATTTTTAATATTTCCTAGATTATAAGCAATATTGAGACTAGCACTAAATAATTTTTTTTTTAATAAGTATGATGACTGGTTAATTATTCCTCAATTTGTAATAAAAAAAATGTTTATCGGTATTTAAAAATGTATGAGGGATCTGCTGGCCCGGACTAAAACACGGCAGTAAAATTTATAATAAAATCAAGCCTAATGAGACCTATTTTTTTTTATTTATAAAATTTGAATCGGACCAATTAAAAAAAAAATTTAAATTATATAAATTAATTAGTAGGAAAATAATGAAGAGCTTAATATTCATTTGGACTGGGCCATAAAATTATTAAAAATTAAAATCGGGGCAGGGTATAAAATATTTTTCAAATCCGGATCTGACCGTGTAATAGGTATTTCTGAAGGTCTTTGATCAAAATTTACCTTGATCTCATTCCCTAAATTCTATCATTTTATTTTAATAAAAAAGTTTTTGCTAGATTTAAATAACACAAAGAACCGAGTCCAATTTGCAGCTCTGGTTATTGATATACAAAAAGTTTAAAAAAAAAGAATCCAAAGAGAAACTATTAAAAAAGCCTTAATTTTGATTATACTATTATAATTTCAAAAAAATAAGACAACGAAAATCAATTTTTAAGAATAGGATGGATAAATTAAGACGGGCAAAAATTTTGTTGATATTAGCATATTGGGGTTGATATCTATATGCATAAGGTTACACTTTTTTAAAACATATATTTTCCTTATAATTTATAAAAAAAAATTTAGATATTAATTTATATAATTAAACCTTTAATTCTTTTGAATAAAAAAAAAGAACGCAAAAGACTGGTCGAAAATCATGGGGAAATATTGGTGTTAAAAAATAAGGTCAGATATTTTATCAAAACATAATTTTCTTTCAAGATTTTTAATTTCACAATTCAAGAAATATAAGATATTATTTTAACCTTTGGTAACTTAATATAATTTTAAAAAACTCACAAATTATATAATTTTTTGTTACATTAACCAAAACATTTATGTTCAATGAATCGTTTTTAAAAATAAAGTGAATGGGTGTAGAGGAAAATCATTTGGGTTCGGCGGGTTATTTTCTTTTCTTGTATAGAGGTATGTGTATGAGTTAGTTGAGATAATGTCAGCAGAAAATATAATAGAAACCTCCTGAAGGTCAGAATTTTTTTCAAAATTCAATTTTCAAACCCGGCCCATTTTTCTTAAATTTAAGCCAGGCCTGATTTTTAAAATATGGATCATTTTAAGATAACATTTCGAATTCTAAAAAATTTTGGCTGTATTTATATTGTTTCGAAAGGAAATTAAAGGTATGAATAGTTAATAAATTTTAAATGCTTCATTATATTCCAAAATTCCCCGCTGATTAATTGAAATTGTAAAATTATTATATTTGTATATAAAAAAAATTTTTTAGTTTGAGTTTATGAGAGTTAATGGATTTAAATGATACAAATCAAAATGATTATCCAAGGGGAAATAAGATGGATAAATCTTATAAACTTTGATTGAATGACAACCAATTGAGCTATGAGAAATAGGATAAACAACTTATAAAAATTAATGCCCATATTATTGAAGGAAATTTTATTAATAATAATTACTAGTTAATAGTCTGACGAAAAATTTTCTATATTTAAAAGCACCTTATTTCATTAGAATTCTAAACAGGGGTTGGCAATCTTTTCGACCTCATATTGATTGTTTGGAAAAATCTATGTGTTTGTTTAATAAAAGAAGCTTCAAAAAGAAAACTTTTATAGATCAAGAAATTGAAATTCTTTGATAAACAAGATCAAATATTTCTCAAATTATATTTGCGATATGAAATAGATGTATTGAGGCAAATTGCTCCTGCCTCCTGTTTATATAAACATTATTGCTTTTTATTAATAACGGCTTAAAGTTGCGAATGGAGGTTTGAGATTTTTATAGTCAATTAATGCTTAATTTTAAGGGTAATGTTATATGATGTTGATCAGCATATAGCCATTTGCTAAACAACGAACAACATTTTAAAAATTTCATTAAGACTTAAATATATATTAACAAAATCAAGTGGTCGAGTCCTATCTAGTATATATCATTCCCCATTAGCACTTATTTCTCCTGGGCATATGTAATAAACATTTTTGGGGATAATTTGCAAATTAGTAGTTGCAACATTTTATAAAAGAAGCACATCTTGAGCTAATATTAATTAGTTTAAATAGTACAGTATGTTGATTTATATAGTGAGTATAGTTGGGTAATCAGTATATTTTGAGCCGTTTAAGCTTTTTAGCCGGTTAAAAAATCGTCTAACCCGAGTTGTAGGTCGAAAACTATCACTTTGGGCCCCGGGCTTTCTTCGCCGTAATTTTAACGGATTTTCTCTGTCACGCGCCTGTAGATTGAGCCAAATTAGCCGACATTTAGCCATTACCCAACTATAATAGTGAGATAAAAATTGGAAATTTGCAAAAATTATAAAGAGATCTAGTCAATTGTTTTTGACTGGGTAAATTATTAATAGGGTCTATTCCTTTAAAAACTAGCTTTATTAATTTAAGGAACTGATGCGAAAAAATTTTAATTTTATATTGGCTAGTTTGTTGTTATGTAATAAAAATCGAATTGTGGGATGCAGATACTTAGCAAAATACACTTAAGTCGAGTAGATTTCTCATTTTAGTTTAGTTCTTCGTCAGATTTGATCATAAGTATGATTTTTTTAACATCGTTTTTTTTTAGATTCAGGGGTGTGATTCGTTAAGGTGTTTTTTATTAAGACCAGACATACAAAGTACAACTTGCCAACCCTGCGTTTTTTTCCAATATAAATTTATTATTATTTTTGATATCGATGGTATCGGCCGATAGGTGTGAGTATCGGTATCGGCTAAAAAAGATGTTATCGATTCATCTCTGGAGAAGATTGTATTATTCTTTCAAAAATTATATGATATTTTCTATTGTCTTAGCAGATAGATATTTTATAAAACGCTCAAATAGGGAAGTATTTTTTTCAAAAATACCTGAAAAAATCTATACTTTGCGAGAAAAACCTTAGGCTAAATATATGAAATTGGAATAAATGATAAGATGTAATCAGGGGCCCCTTGAAATCGGGAAAAGATATATGAGAAGAAGAAATCATTATTGAAAGTTTAAAATATCTATCTCAGAAATTTTATTGATAGAGAATAAATTAATCCATATAACTCTTGTTTAACTACTTCCAATGTTTAATTATATTACTCTTAAAAAATAAAATAAAGATTATAATATTTTGAATGAATCAACTATGCTTTGTTTTTTTTTTATAATAAAATTTCCTGGAAAAGTGAATTTTTGATGATATTGAAAAAAAAACGAATTCTGATTATTTGTGAATTGAGTAGAAAATTAAAACATATAGCTTAATATTATAGTAATATAATAAATAAGATAAGATTATCATGATATAAAATAAAATAAAATGTTTATTTATTTTAATTTATATAGCAAAATAATGTCAAATTACATAAAAGATGTAAGTTTAGTGTGATAATTTCTCATTTCTTAAGTAATTAGCTTAATTTTGAGATAAAAATTTAAAGGTTTATGTGAGATTTAATTCATAGGTCATTAGAGTTTTGTTTAAAAAAAACTAGACTGACTCATTTAGCGAATTTAATTGTAAAAATCAGCTCCAATTATTGGAAGTCAACTCGAGTTGATCAGAGCCGTGAGTATTAGAACTTTTAGTGGACGATGGAAAAATTAATTTGACGATACTTTAAAAAAACCACCCTAAGAAAAGGATTAAATCAAATTTAGCCAAAAAAGGGAATCAAATCAGTATATAAAAGAATAATTAACAAAAAACTGAAATTAGCAAAAATAGGAAATAAAAATGTCTAAGATTCAAAATTTAATGGCCCCTAATAATTTAGAGGCCGCTTTTCCACCTGCTCTTCCCAAGAGTCTGGTTAGTGTTTTTAAAGGGCTCGATTTGAGTCGATTTTTAAAAACGATTAACTCTATATTTTATCCAGAAAAATATAACGCAAGTCTGAGGACTTTCTTCAAAGATGGCACAAAGGTTTGGACATCTATTAGCGATCTCGAGTTAGGCAATATTTTTTTGACTAAAATATTGAGTTAGCCGTTTTTAAAAATTGGCTGAAATCGAGCTGTTTAACACTGAGCCTGGTTAATCAAAAAATTGTGATTAATTTAAATAATTGACATTTATGTAAAAGTTATGTTGGTGTTTACTTTTGTTTATTTTAAGATGAATTATTATTTAAAAATTTTTTTTAATTAGAAAAATACGCCCATATTTTATTCAAAACGGAAGAAGATTCTATATCAATAATAATTAAGTTTTTTTTTCATACTTGATTAAATTAGAAGGAAATCTAATTATCTTATTTATAAAATTATTTTTCATAGTTTAATATAAAAAAAAATCATATTTTAGATTTCATAAGTTTTTTGTAAATTTGTTAAATATTAAGTTTATTAAGTCAATAAATTTATACAAGTCATCATACTATTTTGGCAAAATCTTAATTTAAGGACAGATATTATTAACCTCAAATATCAGAGTAAGTTGTTGTATTATAATATTTAAAAAAAGCTATTAGATGATACATTTTTATTAGTTTTTTTCTCCTTTAAGAAACACTTTTTTCAATGCATTTTAAGAAATATTAAATCATAAGAGGCTACCTTCTTTTTATTCGAAGCTGCTATTGGTCAAAAAAATATCTAGAATTAAAATAAAATTACTTATGATCAAGATCCCGGTCATCAACGTCAAGCAGCCATATATAAACGTGTATATTCTCTAAATTGTGATAAATAAATAACGATAAAAAATAAATGTATTTAATAACATATTTATTATTATTATGTATGTATGAGACGGGCTTAAAACATCTTAAATAAAACTAAGGATCTACACAGGAGAGTTCTAACGTTTGACAAATAGAACGTTTGGTAGTTCGTTATAACAAAAAAGTCAATACTATAAAGTTAAAAATTATAGAGTAGTTTTTAATATATTAGATATGCATAGAAATATGAAATATTCGGAATTAGAGATCTACAAAGTCCGACCCAACCAAAAGCCCGTGCCCATTATTTCATTTTGATTAATATTATTACACTAAAGTACTAAATCTAAATAATATAATATAAATTCATAAAAAAATAAACAAATATTCATGATTATGATACAATTACACAATACAGATATCAAACCCAATTGATTTATAAAACGATTGTTGTAGAAATAGATAGCCATAGAGGAGAGATATAAAAAATAAGAGCCATAATTGAAATTGGGAAAAAATTAGTTACCGATATTAAAAACAGGGCTCCTAATCCTTACAACCCTCGAGATTTAAATTAACCCGAACCCTTTTTTTAAATTTAGAGTTCAGGCTTTAAGAATCATTTTTTAAAAACACTTTTCGTGGCATCCTTTCCGTCACATTTTGTAAAATTTTTTATCATAGATAATATATATTTTAGGTTGCTTGCTGAATTTTTTTAAAATCGCTGACATATATATGTCCTTGACAAAAGGGCCCGGAAAGCACATTGGACAAAGACATTGTATAAAAATACCCACAAAAAAAGACAGGACAAAATTTACCCCTTAAAATTTCTAAAATGGGTTATTTTTTTCAGTGTATTTTTGCCTGGATTTTCTCGATAAAAAAGAGAACAAAATATAACAAGGTAAAAGTTGCAACTTGCAATGCACTTTCAAAGTTAGGCAAAAAAAATCTATGTCATTCTAGATTTTGGAAGATATCACGATAATTCGCTTAAATAAAAGCGAAATCCCTGAAACAGATTTGGGCTCAAAATCTTAAAAAATCTTCTAAAATTTAGTAAAAATAACAAAAATATGCAAATAACTATAATTTTTTAAATAAACCATAGTTGTCATTTTGATCATAGTGTAAAAGATGATTAAAAAATATTTACTAATATTTCAACATTTGATTACTACGAAATGAAAGTTCAAAAGCAATAATGATGACAAACTAGAGATCTGCAACAGAAGGATATTTATCAAGCCACAGGCGGGCAATTTAAAAAAAATTAAACATTGGTTGGGTGAGCGGGAGTGTTAAAAATATTTTAAAACAATGGGGGGGGGGGTATATTGAGCGGAATAACCGGAACGGACTTTCATTTATTAAAAATGATTTTTTTATTTCAAAATATTGCATAAACTTAAATAAAAAATAGGGAACCGAACTGTTAAACACAAACAGTTAGAACCGTAACCAAACTTTTATGCCAAATCGTTTAAAGGAAAGAATCGAGCCTTTATATTTTTAGAACCGTTTCAGACCATTTTTTTATATATAAATTATAACTTAGACCATAATATTTGATAACTTACACATTACTTTTCCCTAGGGAGTTTTTATTAATTATAATTTTTTCAAATTCTGCAAATTTAATATTTTTTAAGCTTATTTTTATTGTGTCCCCATAAGGAAAATTTTCTATTTATGGCCCTGATTATGACAAAGCAAAAGGTAGTGTATATTATTACCTATTATCGAACGGAAGAATAAAAATTTAAAATAACTCAATTTGATTTTATTTCTGAATTAAAAGTCAATCAATAATATTAAGTATTAATTAATACATTTAAAAAGAATTCATCATGAACAAATTATCAACTTTCTTTTATAATTTTAAGCTCTACTATACTATTGTATTATAAAAATTATTTTATCACAAACATAAATTTAGATAGCCAACTATTTCGATATCTATACAATAAATAATAATAATCAAGGACTATGAGTAAAATTAAAAAGGATATAAAAAATTTATAAAAAATTGAGGCCAAAATAGGTTGAAAATAAAAGTCATTATAGTTTTTAAATATAATAGTATTAAATTTAATATAGATGGTGCACTAGATTTTTATTTGATAACTTCGTATATCCTTAAAAACATAGGAATAATGATAATATTATTATATTTCTTAAAAAGCAATTGATTTCTTTACAAAACAAAACTCTTTTCGATTATATTGTCAAAATATAATTACATTTATATTTATATTTTTGAAAATCGCGTTAATTAGAATCAAATAATTCTTTATTTATATTAGTACGAATAAGAAAAACATTATCCGATTCGATTTGTTGAAATATTCAATTCGAAAACTAAATTCCTTAAAAATATCTTCAAAAATGAATTATTAAAATCAAAAATATGATTTATAGAAAGTATAAAATATAAAAAAATATAAAAAAAATATAATGTAAGGAACAAGTTAATACTAATAAAGATTAAATAATTTTGAATATTTACGAATAATTTCGAATTATTCGATAAGATGGATAAAAAAATTACTAAATGAATAATATATTTTTCGTATTCGTATAATATGAATCAAATTAAATAAGGAATAATTCGTTTTAGGTGTAAATTTTAAATCATAATTTAAGGCAAGGCTTTAGGCAGTGTCCTAGGTCGGCTTAATATTAAACAGTTGGCTATTTAGTATCCAAAAAAGTAAACCAAAAAAAATATATAACCAAAAACCAAAAAAAAAAGAAAAAAGAATAATAAGAACAATGCCACCAAATACTTAAAACAAAACAAAAGAGGGTGTCCTGGTTTAAAAACTTTTTAGCCTATAGTAAAAAGCAATTAAGTATCCAAATTAAGCCGACCGAAGACACTTTTTTAAAACTTATTTACCCGTGTATAATGTAAATTCAAGTATTAAACTTTAAAATTTACATTCAAAAATTTGCGTTTAATCTAAGAAAAATATTTTATAAATAAAGATAAAGGGATTATTTTATTTCAAGCAGAGATGCATCGATACCTAACAGTTCGATATCTTGAAAAATATTGATCGACGGATGCCACAAATAAATATTTTAAAAGAAATTATATGTAGTGTACATTCAAAAAAGTATATAAAATATTAATACTGAATAAATTCTAATTTCAAGCGTTTTGTATAAAGTTTAACAATTCGTCAGTTATTTATATTTTTACAATAAAAATAATTGAATTAATATATATATTTAAAATTGGCAAATTATTTAAATTAAATTATTTTTTAAATATATCAGCAAGGTTTTTTCTTTTGAATGAATGAATGTTCTAAGACTCGTTTGTTCCGGGAAACTTCAGACAAATCAGATACCTACAGAGGTCGGAATTTCAAGCCCGTCTCTGATTAAAAAAATAATAATTTCAAGCTCAGTCCAGATTTTCAAAATAAATTTATTTTTAATTTTTGACCCAATCTGTATTTTTACTTTTTTTAAAATCATTTTTTGATCAGGGCCAGAATTTTCAAAATTTAGTTATTTTGAATAATTTATTGATTAAATAAATATCAAACGTTCTATTATAATATTTTTCAACTGATTAATTAATATATTTTAAATTAATTTTTTAAAAATCCTACCTGAATTCTTAATTTTTTTAAACTCCAGTCCAGATTTTTAAAATTATACCATTTTTAGCTGGTTCCAGGCCTGCATATTTATTTCTAAATGGTAACAGGGGATTTATCTATTTTTTGAGGAATTTAAATAACAATTATAGAATCTGACAATTTCTATTGTGGTGTATTCATATTCATTAACTGCTCTTTAAATTTAAAAAATTTCAATATCAATTAGTATTTCTAAAGGTGTAAATCAATACAATTAATTCTCTTAATAAAAATTTAGTTGGTGGTTTAGACAGCTCTTATTTATTTTTCATTAAACAAAAATACTCCTTCCCAACCTTTATCCAACATTTTAGTTACCTTTTGTAATAATATATTAAATTATATTCCCATACAAATACAATAATTTGCCCACCTTTTGGCAGTATCAAAGTCTGATAGTGATATTCATCTAATAAGCTGTAGGGCCATTTTTTAGGAGATTAATTTCTGATTATTATGGAGAGTTGTAAAATTTCACATATTGTAAGGATACAAATAGACAACCCACCACCAAATTCTATTATAAGAAACTGGATTTTAAAACGCCTTCAATGGTTTAAATCAACATAGATTTTTAAAATATTTCAGTGATACTTAAAAAAATTGCTATCTTGTAATAAAATTTATTTAAAAAATTTATTCAATAGGATATATTTTTATCAGTATTGATTTCTATAATATGGCAAAAATAATTAAGTTTATTTTGTTAGTATACTAATGTACCTTGGTAAATAAAATGTCAATTTTTTTAAAAAATAAATCTTAAAATTACTTGTTTTCCACGCACACCAGGTAATATAATAAAAAATGAAAATATCAATGAGCCGCAGAAGTATAAAAAAACTATTAAAAAATTATCGCATTCTAATGATTTAATAGGTGAATATAAAGTTGGGTAATTGAATTCGCGAAATGCTTTAAAAATCATAAATTTTCAAATTAATATTTTATCATATGTTTGCATTTATTTGTATCCACGACAAATTAAGATATTTAAATATTTTGCAAAATTAAAATCTACAATTGATAAAAGTACTGTTTTTCAATATTTAAATTCAAAAAAATGTCTAGATCCAGGTGCGGTTTTATCCGGTGGAAAATTTGAAGTGATAGAACGGTAAATACAGATTCTATGAACATTATATCTTAATATTGATAGTAATTATAACTTACACTAAAGAAATTAAGCTTAAAATCAGCCATCACCCACCTTTAAAGTAATTAAATTATACTGTAGTTTTGGGTATAGGCTTTTTCTTTGTCCCACTCCTTTTAAATTAAAGCCTATAGAGGTTTAAGCAACATTTTTCGAAATGTTGTGCCTACAAGTACGTGCGGCTTGCCCATAAACGTGTGGAGGGCTCCTCATATTTTTACTTTTATACCCAAATTAAATTGTTCCAAATAGATGGAAATGAGGAAAACCTAGCGTAGCTCTGTTGAATCTTCAACGCTAGAGGGCAAAAGCGCTATATATCATGTATCACGTAAATCTACAATTATTATATATAATAAATGTGATTTCTATTTTACAGACTAGCAGATATATTGTGTTTATAATATAAGTAAATTTGTTCTCATTCATTTTTTTATCCGATATTCATATAGTTTTTTCATAAGGTTAAGGGGGGAAAGGGGTGAAGCGTATTCGAGCCCCCAGAAAATGTTGAAATCTTTTTATATTAAAAAAAAGTTAAAATTTTAGTTAAAAATAAGGCCATTTTGAAAAAAATAGAAAAAAAATATATATTGATATCCCTGAGATTATAAAGGTTAGTGACAACACTGATATATATTAATTATCAAAATGGTTTTAAATTTCAGGGGTAATATTGGAGGCAATCAATGAGCTAAAATTTCATAACTAATCGAGCCAAATTTTATATTTGAAAAAAAACTTGGGCTACCTTACAGTTTACAATTTTTAAAAAGGGGGTAAAAATTATTAAAGCGGGCCTAATCCTGATCTCATTATTGCCTCACAAAAATATAAATAGATTCTAAAAAATTGACCATCAGCTGTCATAACTGCATTCTAATGTTTTCTGTAATTTAATATCCTTGTTTAGCTTTAACGATAAATGGCATCAAAATTGAACAAAGTTATTAATACATTAGCTATCAAGGGTCCTATATATACAAAAGGTATTTAAATTTGCAAAATTTATATATATATAATTAAGATGCAATCAAATATACCTACCCCAAGCTGAAAACCTTTTGGCATTATGCTAAAATCGAAATGAGACCTCCAACATCTTCTGAATTTCCAAAAATTCAAAATCAATTTCAAGATATATTATCATTATTTAAAAATGGCCAATGGAAGAATCAATCTATTAAAGTTTTAAAAATATATTATTTTTGCCAAATATAATAAAATTAGGAAGCCTGGTTGAATTCTCTAGTGGCTGCAGAAATATCATTTTGGTTTTTTGTTGGTGAAATTATTGGCAGAAGAAGTTTTTATGGCTATAATGTCTAATCTGAGGCTCATTTTAATATCTATTAATGTCATAAATTTATGTCACATAAACAATTAGCATTTTTTTAAATAAAGAATAATTGCTTTATATTTTTTGTTTTCATGGAAATAAATGTATTTTTTATTTATTTTAAAATTTGGTGCCCTTTTAACCAATATACATTATATTACAATTAACATGGATATTAAATTCATAAACTTATTACATTTATATCTAAATATTAAGAAGGGTAGGGCAGGAACTTGTCGTATCTCTAAAAATTGGGATTGTGCTCTTTCCAGAAATTTTCCAAATATATAAAGAGCACAACAGGTTATTTATACCTTTTTTGAATATAATGTTATCTTAATATTAACATTTATGTTTTAGCAAATAGAAATTTTCCCCAACTTTCATCCTGCCCCCTCCCAAAAATGAAAACAAGATGTATAAACTATTATTTTTTTAAATTCATGACTAGGTTTATTCAATAACAAATCAAAGAATAAATTATCAAATACAAGTAAACAATTATTTGATTCAAATACAAATTAGAGATCTTCATTTGGGCCATGATAGGTCTATTTTTATAAAATAATTTAGTTCAGGCTGGCATGGGTCTAATGTTTTTTAAAATAAAGGCAGGATCAGGTTAAAATTTTTAAATATGAAGCCATTACATTTTGTCAAATAAATTGATATAAAATTCTTACAAGAAACAAGGCACTAATATTTTTTATTTGTAGAATATTTTTTTACAATAAAAAAAATTATTTTTCTATATTTAAATAAATTTGAACCTGGCTGACAAATAATTTTTTGCTAGCTTTTTGGAACAAATAAAGAATTTTTTTATTTTGGAATAGGCTGGGCAGAACAAATTTTTAAAAAAAATTAGGCCCGGCTTAATAAATTAGACCTGATGCAGATCACTAATTTAAATAATTTATTTTGTTCCATTTAAATAATTTGAATAATTGGATTTTTTTTATTGAATTACAAATAATTGAAATATTCCACTTCTATTATTAAATATTTGGATAATATAAATTATTTATTATAGTTTTTGTTTTTTAAAAATAGGATAAACATTTACAAATCAAAATAATAATAAAAATTTTTTAAGAAAAACATAATTGTGCTCCTAAAAGGGAACAATAGTTAAATTTTAAATATTTAATTGTGTAATCAATATAAAAATTCTAAAATACATATTTCCATTTTATAAGAATTCATTAGGTTCAAGTGTTTGCATTTTATTTTGTGAGCTAATTTTAAAAAAAAAAAGTGATAGGTGGGGCATTCCCACATCAAATCGACCAAAAAACGAGGTTTTTGGACGACCATCCTTAAAATGAACGAAACTTAGTATGATAGTTATTTATGTTGTATATATTAATAAAATCAAAATTTTAGAGTGCTAGCTCAACCAGATCTAAAGATATACGCTTTCAAAATCGCGTAATGCGTGATTTCATTAAATCTTGTTTTTTTTAAAACATACTTAAGATAGAGTTACAAAATTATATATCATTTTATAGCCCTTAAAATTTTATATTGGAAAATGTCGAAAAAAAATTCCAAATGTTTTCTAATTTCCGGGAAAAATAAAAAATTAACATTTAGGATGGGATTTTTATGGGTGTTGATATTCTCTAAAAATGTTTATTACCTTTATATTAAACGATTTAATTAAAAATCTCGATAGCCATTTCTTTTTTTTTAATTTTATAAAAAAAGAAGTTATATAGATGGCGTTATATTAAAATGATTTTGCATATAATATATTTAATAAAAATATATATTGGTAAAATTTCGATTAAATATAACCATAACCAATATGATATCCTGGGGATTATTAGGACGATATATTTAAAAATAAACATATTTTAAATTTTATATACAAACAATTTTTAAAAAACCACTTGTTTTAATCATTAATAGATTCATGAGGCGATAATTTGTAGGTACGCCCTGTCACTGTTATGGGATCTATAATCGTTATTTGATTAATGGCAACCATATCTTTTCCTCAATTGCCGAGTAAAAGAAGGATTGTGATGGTTAATGGGGTGTAAAAAAAGTAAATATATATCTCCTCTGTAATTTCATTCTTTTTTAGAATTGTGACTAACCACCAAAAAGAGTCATAAACACATGTTGCGAATCCTTCAATATCAGCAAAAGAGAAATTATCCTCATTTGAGATATTGTTAATTTGAAAGGTCTGTTCATATGAATATATTTTTGATTTAGGTTTACTTAAAAGCAAAGGAAATACAGCATGTATTTCCCGGGTTCCTGGATTGGGGCAAGCTAAATTGAATCTTTTTAATCTCTTCTAAATTGTATTATTCGTTGGTTCTATAGGTAAAATTTACTGATGACATGTTTTATTTTGCAAACGGATATATATCAACTGGTGTTAAAATGTGCCCTGAACTGGTGCGCTGAAGACTTGAACGTATCTTTCAATTTTTCGCCAAGGCCATCATATGGACCTTTTCCATGGGATGTAGTTGAAAAATGTCATTCAGCTGATACACTAAAATCTAATTCATGATAACACAGATTTATAAAAATTTTTGTTTTTACATTGCATAGCTGATAAGTCAGAGCAGCAATATATTTTACTGTTGAATTGATTGGTCAAAAAAATAACGATAATATATACAAAAGTGAAAGGATATATTTACAAATTATGGCCTCAGGAGTTTCTATTAATAAGCACAAAATGGAATACGATAAAAATAAGAGATATGTTTTTTATAATATTTGAATACAAATTTTAAAATGTTTTTTACAATATAGCGCCTTAATAATCATCATATCTCTACGGGCTGCTTCCTTACTTATTGCCCCAGGACATCTGGTTATATATAATTAATCGATTTTTTAAATTTATAACTAATATAATACATATTTTATTAAAAATATTATATTAATAATTAATTAATTTTTAATTTTATAAATTATACATATAAGTGTGTTTTATCAAACAAAATTGTATAATGATGAGATCACCATTCTATAAAAAAAAGATATAAAGAATTTATTATAATTGCTCGAATAATTTAAGACACGGAGTTAACTATCAAAGCTAGGTCAATAATGGATAGCGAATATGAATATAGCGGAGTATATTCCAGCATAAGGGATCCTAAATATTCCAAGTATAATGACATTAACAACCATCATTAAGATTTTAAAAATCCCTATTACGCAGTCATAAGGAGATAATCTTTACCAGCAAATTCTCAATCCTTACAAAGCCTCACCATTGCTTCCCCTACTCATGATAAATAGAGTTAGGAATAAAATTACATCTTAATATTTGCAGATTTCTTCTGGGACATTCATTAAAATTCAATTCTAAAGCGGGGGGAGGGGGATCAGCCTACCAAACGCAGTTTTATAACATCTATTTGCTGCATTTATCTCATTTTTTCCCTCAAGCAATTTGTTTACAGCAAAACCTTTTAAAAATGATGAATGCTACCAATGCCACAATAGATAATAAGCTGAACTAGTTTGTATTTCTAAAAATGGCCTCCATACACTTTGAAATAGAAAATTTAATATGAGCAGCTATTGAAATAATGGTATTATTATATCTATTTAATCTCATATTTTGTTTCATGTTTCTCCTTTCAGCATTCACAATAATTTTTTAAAAATATTTACAAAAAATAAATTTAAAAAAAAAATAATATTAAGCATTTCCTCGAGTTTCAGTGAGTTACCTTATTTTTTATATGAACTTTGTTTTAAATTCTTTTTTTAGTAATAAACTCAACGAACTAAAATAAATCTTATTTTTGTATTAGATTTGAAGATTAATAAAATTTCTTGAGAAAACATATTTCTACGTTAATTTACTATACTGAGTGGCTGATTACAATAAGATATGAAACATTTTGTATAGGAATAGATTTTTTGGCTTCATTATAATAATAAATTTTTAATGACAACTAGCTTAGAAGATGTTTTTAAGTTTAGTTTATATATTTACACCTCAAAAAATGAGCCAAATCTATTTTATTATTTGCATACGAATTTGACATTATATTCAAAATTTATTTTAAAAAAATAATTCAAAAAAATTAATTTAGAATGATTAATAATATTTAATTATAATTTTTTATTAACTGCAAAAAAAAATGATAAATTGTTTCAAGATAAATTTAACGCAAATGGAGTAATAGCGCTTTTAAGATGTAAAACATTTTTAAAAAATCGGATTTTAACCGGATAAAAAGTTATGAGTAGTAGATAGGAATGGTTTATTTTGAAATAATGTTAATTTTATTTGCTCGACAAGGAGAAAAATAATTAATTTTAAACAAGGGTCTGCATAAAAAAATTTGGGTGGGATTGTTTAAAGTTGATGGTCAATTTTTTTATTTATCAATTTTTTAAAAAAAATTAAATATTTTTTCTCGTGGAGTAAAAATTTTTTACTAAACTTAATATTCCTACAAGATTTGTATTACTGGTTTAATATCAAAAGCTTTTAATTCAGTCCAAAATCTTATTTTAAAATTTTAACTTGTTATTTTAAACTATTCACAAAAAATTTTATCCTGTAAAATCCAATTTTTAAAATATTTTACATTTTAAAAGTGCTATTAGTGGAACATACTTTATCAAATTTTTGCCAAAATTAAACTTAAAAACTATTTTTTCCATCTATATTTCTTTTTCAATTTTTAAACAATTATGTGACAAAATGATGCATATTATAACCTATATTTAGAAATAATTACTTAATCCTGTCTAATTATATTTATCTCTATAACATATAGATACCTATAGTCGCCCTAGACAATATAAAAATTGTATATACTCTTCTATTTTTTTAATACCAATGATGTAAATTTTTTTTATTTTAAATTCAAATAAGTTCCTTGTTTAATGAATATTATATAAATACCAATTTATACTTAAATTTGATATATATACATATATATATATATAATAATAATATTAAATGTATAAATATAACAAATTTATTAACATTGATAATATTTTGAAGATTTGCATTTAAATGATATTTTACAAATCATTAAACATAATACAAAAATATATAATACTGAATATTTTAAACTTTTCATTATTAATTTAGATATATAATCAAATTTAAATAATCACAATAAATGTAAATTGCACTGGATGAAAAACTACCCTTAGCAAGAATGATTATTTTCTATGGGTAAATTTTAACTTGATCTTGATTGAAGGGCATAAAACTAGATGTAATACAGGATCTACATCCTCCATATGTTTACCAATTGTCTCAATTTCGTAATGCTGAATTATATTAGATATCACGGTATATATTTCAACTTCCGAGATTCGCCTCCCTATACACATCCGTGCACCATGTCCCCAAGGCAAAGATGCAAAGCTAGATATTTCTTTGCTCATTTTTTTAATATTCATTTGAGTTTTAGTATTGTTTGAGCTGAACGGACATTTAAGATTTCTTTGATTTACGTTATCGATTTGAAAATAATCGTCAGAATTTTTGTCTTTTGTGGATGTTATGTTTTCATTGGACCATCGTTCTGGAACAAATATCTCTGGTTCATCAAACAAATTTTTGTTTCTACCCATAGCATATAAACTACCTTGCACATGAGTTTTTATAGGTATATCATATTCATTTAATGTTAGGCTCTTGTCTATAATCCGACTGGTTGTATAGACTACAGGGTATATCCTTGAATTTAAAAAGAATTTGTTATTAAATTTATAAATGCAGGTGAATTTACTTCTAAAAAACATAAATAAAAAATTTAATATAACAACTAGGTTTTGATCAACAATTCATTAAGATCGCAAATTTCTAAAAGTGCAATATACCTCAAAGCTTCTTTTACGCAACATTTCAAATAATTTAGTTGATGCATTTGATCCAAGTTTATACCATCAGATTTTTTAATTTGTATAATTTCTTCGCACAATTTATTTTGTACCCTGGGATTTTTTGCCAAACAGTATAAAGTCCATAAAACTGCAAAACACGTCTATTGTATTTTTAGAATTAAAAATATGTTTAAAAAAAATTTGAGCATTTATTTTGGTGGAATTTTGATATCCATTTAAGAAAAATAGATATCAAATTTTTTTGTAAGAACATTTTTATAAATAAATATACTACTACTACAAAAACAAGATAACAAAATGTAACATCTATACGAACAAAAATATAGATAAAATAAAAAGGTAAAAATTTACTGTTTCTATAGCAGCCATCATTAAATCAATCAAAGTGACATTTATTTCCTTTTTTGACCAAGTTGTATTCATTAAAAGATGACTTAAGATCGAATATGATTGTAGAGAAGTGTTTTGTAATGTATTATTCTTTTCGTATTCTAAAACTTTCTATTAAAAGAAATATACATATTAGTATAAAACTAAATAAAAAATCATTAAGTCTTTGATCCCTTTCATAAGTCAGGTTGGATTTGTCAGAAAAAATGAGTTTTTAATATGTATAACCTTGATGTTTTTTAAGCCATTTAATTTGAATAATTTATTATCGAAGGCTATGATTTTTTGCGGTCTATCAAAATGGGCAGTATTTTTATTATCAAAAAATAAATGTTTTATCCTTTTAGGTAGTATTTATAAAATAATGAGCAGTAAAAAAACTGTTTTTTAATAAAAAGTTATATTATAAAGTAAGTCATTTTTAATTTTTTAAATAAATACTTAATTTTTTTGAATTTCAATAATGGTTTGATGCAGGTGCAAATTCTTGGGTAAACAGCAATTGTTGCAAATAGAAATTATTTACATATGATATTAATTAATTTCAAATTTCTCTTTAAACAATAAAAATTAAGTATTATAATAAAATTACTGAATATGTTTAATAATTAAGTTATATAAACAAATAAATAATTTATTAGATAGTTTAGATCTTTTAATGTAATTATATTCAAAATAATTAGAATGAGAAAATATAATATTTAATCCGCAAGGTGATTTATTGTTTTTTATATATTATTTTTATTCTGTTCATTGAATTTATTATTAAAAAATGAATAGGTCATATAAAACAATTAAAGATTATAAAAATATAACGCATAACATATATAAAAATTTAAATGAAAACAAACAATTGGCTTACTCACAGTGCTATATGGAACCATAAGTAGCAATGCAATTACTTTAATGAATAGTCATTGTAATAAAGATCTGCAAAGTTAGGCCCGGCCCGAACGGGCTTCGGGCCGTGCTTGGGCCTAATTCTATTTAAAATAATCGGGTTCGGGCCGGGCCTATATTTTTAAAAAAATTTCGGGCCGGGTCGGGTCGGACCTTGGAAATTTTATTAAATATATCTAAATTTATCAATTTTATATAGAATTCTTTATGTAAAATAAAAATTTTTGATTTAATTTATTGAAACTAAACGCTATATAACATATGTCTTTTATTTTAAGTAATTATAAAAATTCATTTCTATATTTAAATAAATTCAGACCTGGCCGGGCCGGTAAATTTTTTTAAAATAAATTTCAGGTTCAGGCCGGGCCGGCTAAACTTTTTAAATAAATTTCGGGTTCGGGACGGGCCGCAAAACTTTTTTAAAAAAATTTCGGGCCGGGTCGGGCTTGATTAGGCCCGATGCAGATCACTACATTGTAATGGTTTTAAGATTTTGATCGTATTTTCGATCATTATTAATACGAATTTTTATGGAGGTAATTATTCTATTTATGCATTTATTTAATATATCATATAATTCCAAGTAATATTTTAACAATATTTAAGATATAATCTTAATTTGCAACATTAAATGGAACGGTCAGAAAAGTAGACGAATTTATTATAAAATGACTTTACGATCATAGTTAGACAAATCATTGTAATGTAAAATAAAATGCTTCATTACGATTGGCCCTTATTCGCCATAATTTTCTCCTTAAAATGTGATAAATTTAAGGATTTCCTCACCAAAAACTCCAATTGGTGACAAGTGGTATAAAACATACCTTAGCAATGTCTGAATATTTGTTTATTTTCAAGTTTTCTGCCGAAACTAATTTTTGAAGCATTTCTATTGGATCGTGCCGAAAAAATCGATGTTTTTAATATATATAAATAAAATAATTTAAAAACGACCGACCTTCGGGATTACTCACCAAAATTATTAAGGTCAATATTGAGTAAATATTACAATCATTTATTTTAAATAATATTAACCCTATCCCATATTTGGAGATGAAATTCATAGCCTCACTCAAAAAATAATTTTAAAATAAAATACGCCACCATACAAAATAATATTCAATTTCTTATTTTAATTATTTTGAATTTGTTTTCTTTAAAATATTTATTATTAATTAATATTAAATTTAATAATAAATATATCCAGTAATTTAATTTCAATGATTTGTTTTTATATTATAAGAACGGCGTTACCTTTTTTCGTGCTATTTTTCAAAACTCGAGAACGGGAGTTAGCTCCTTTTTAGGTGGAGTGGAAAGGGGGTGCTCCGTCGCTCCTTTAATCTTATCCCATAGATTATTTTAAAAAATAATCTTAATTAATGTATTTGTTGAATACAATAAAAATAATATAATTTGTTTAAATTTATGAAACTATTTAATTACAAAGTTATTCATATTTTTTTTATTCGTACCATTTTATAAATTCAAATGATAAAACTTATGGAAGATGTTGAAATGGATGTATAGATCTAAAGAAAGCAAATATTAAGACCAAATGTTTATTATATAAAAAAGACAATATCATTCAAATATTTTTATAAAATACATTACCCCTCTTCTCTCTAGTTAGTGTTGTTAAATGGCTCGATTTGAGCCACTTTTTAAAAAGTAACTCAATATTTTAGCCCGAAAAATATTGCCTAAGCCTCGAAATTTCGTAGATGTCCAAACCTTTGTGCCATCTATGAGAAAAATACTTAGGCTTTCATAATATTTTTCTATAAAATATTGAGTTACTTTTTAAAAATTGGCTCAAATTGAGCCGTTTAACAACACTTAGTGCTCTTGTGCGCTTATTATCCCTGAAAATATTTTAACTGAGTAGCTTGGCTGCTTATCAGATTCAAATTTAGAAAATATATTACTTGTAATAGTAAATAATTTTTTTAAAAAATTTAGCGGAGGAAGCCCACTCTTTTAATAACTCAGTCGTGGGTGTGGGATCTAGCTTCTTTGAAATGGTGGGATTCCTTTTAAAAAGGCGTTAACAACTATGAATTGTAATTAAGTCAGACAATTCCAATATTTTAAAATTAAATAAATTCACACTTTAAAAAAATTTAGACCTTCCTAAATGCCAACAAAAAATGAAAACGTATTAATAACTTGTCAAAAGTTTAAAACGATTACCAAATTATTCAAATAATTTCCAAAATTTAAATTAAATACTGTCTAAGTAAATTAATTTGCCCATATTTCTTAATAAAAATTGCTTGAATAATCATATGTTTATTATTAATTTTTTTAAATCTTTACCGAAAAAAAATAACGCATTTTGTTTAAGCTTACTTTTTTATGTAAAAAACTAGATAATTTATTATGGCTCTCTTTTTTAATATAATAAAAGATTTCAAACAAAGGGATCCATTAAAACTTCTTTTTTTTGCTTCAATATCCATCATCTAATCTCCGAATTCAAACAAAGGTTCAACTTAAACCAAAGTTTATGGTATTAGCTGATTGAACCATAAGTGGCCACTCAACGAATGTAGGTACTTTAAAATATTTGAAGACTAATTCCCATGCGTACAGCCTTACAATCAATAATAATATAACAGATTATATTTTTTAAATAACAAACAAACCAATTTGCTAGGCTACAAAATACTGACAATCACCGTGTCCGAAGAACTTCTACTCAACATTTTCAAAAGCTTCAACACATCCTAGGTCATTTACCAGCATATCAATGTCTATTTATAATACATAAATGTCTATATATCTAAATTTTTACAAAATTCTGTTTATCAGCCTTCTTTAAAACAATATTTTTATATCCAAAATTTATAATAAATCAAAATATTTGTAGAAAAAATTTTAAACATTGAATTACCTCATTTAATTGGTCACTCGCCCAATTGCCTTTTAAATCGAGTAGTTTAGACTCTTGCACTCGATCTTTTATCTTTGAAATCATTTTTATCACCCAGATTAACAAACAACTCCCACCAACCGTATATTAGTTTACGCAACTAACAAGTTGGAGACTAAACCACCTCACACCCTTTCATCAATCAGCACCTACAAATTCTATTCCCATCTTTATACTCAACTTTCAAGCATTTAATCAGTGAAACCCCTGCAGAGTTGTTATCGAGAGTACTTGTATCTTAGTTAAAAGGTCCATTTGTCAATATCTTTGTGATATTTTTAATAAGATACTTGTGTTGTAACTGTATCTAAGGTTCATTATTTTCAAAAGAATCTTATAGTTTTATTTTCTAGACAAAAGACACTGATACATTTTTTTTTTATATTTGTGTTCATAATATTCAATAAGCACATAAAACTATATTTTCGTGTATTCTTTTTTTAATTTCATTGTTCCTATCATCATATTTTAAAAATATCGTTAAATTTTACCAACAAAAATATGCTTGAAAATCTACAATTTGCATCAAGATAGATATATAACTACATCAAAACAAAATAAGTGAATCATATATTATATATATCAATCTAACATAATGGAATATCAACATTATATAACATTTGTAATTTGTGGGATGCCAAAGTTCTTAGATTGTAAACTCTTTTAATCTGCTGACAAACTAAATGGTTAAAATCACTCCCTAGTCGTAACCTTGGTAATCTCTTATGAGATGAATGATTGAGAGGCCATTAATTTACGTATTGAACCGAATAGCCACATGTTTGTATCAAATGAAATTCACCAGCTTATACAAAGATTAGACATTGCATACATATGATAATATAGCAATTAACATAGTATTAACACGAAAAGTTTCTCGAGGCCACCAAATAAAATATATTTTTCATTTTCAAGGCTTAACAGTGGCACTTATTCCCAATTATATCGAGCCAGCAACCAATCTAACATAGATGAACTAAGGCCTGATAGTACGATAACCATCCATTGGGCCCTTGACAATATGGGACTGTATTTACTTCTCCCTTCAAACACCAACATAATCTCGAACCCAGGGATCAAAAAGATTTAAAAAATTTAAAGATTTAAGCAACTTTCTTTTCATTCCTATAGTCACATCCACATATGGCCATTTTTCGCCAATAACATCCAGGTTCTTAAAAAAATCCAGGCAGCAAAATTAGACATTATACCAACGAAACCAAAGAATTTCTATGCATTAGATTAAAATTAAAATTTTTAGAAATTAGACATTCTTTAATGGTTGTTAAAAAGTCCGATTTGAGTCGATTTTTCAAAACAAGATTTTTGCTAAAATAATATTGTGTAAGCATCGATATTTGGCAAATAGATATCTAAGTATTTCTGCCAGCTTTATAATCTTAATCGGATTTTTTTAAATCGATCCGAATCGGGATTTTTAACATAACACTACTTTTTTTTCATTCTAAATTTGAACATTTCTTAGATTATATTATTAAATAAAAAATTGTAATATTAAAATAATCACTTAATAATAGGATTTTATTTTTACAATAATAATCCAAACTAAACATTCTTTAATAAGGCTCATTTGAGGTTAGTCATTTTTATAAAATAAATTTATCTATGGGCAATATCATATATATTTTTAAGATAACTAGGAAATATATTGCAACTGGAATAGGCTGCACTTGCAAAAATTACCCTATTATAAAAATTCGTATTAACATTATGCCAAGAAGATATTATTTTAAAGTGCCCGTTAACTATTTGCACACTAATTTGTTTTGCGAATGATAACGTATTTTAAATGTCTTGTATAAAAATGTTATAAATTAAATTTTTAAAAAAAATTTCATGTTAATAATATTTAACGAAATTATGCTATAGAGCAATAGTATAGAATAAAAAATTAGTTCAATAGAGTTATTATTAAAATTAATTTAAAAGAAACATAATTATTATTTAAAAAATTTTCTTGTTATATTTGAGGGGAAGTTAGGCTAATTTAGAAAAATCTTTATATACTACTTAAATCAGTTTACTTCTTCAACAAGATCCTCACCAGTTTTAAATATGACATCGGCATATTTTTCATTTTCTTTCCATAATTTAGTTTTGTAATATTTGTACCAAGGAAAATCTGTAATCAAAGACTGTAATGTACGGGTATATCCAGCAACGCTTTCAATAAAATGGGTCGTTTTAATAGGCATTGGATCTTGAAAACAATTTAAACGAGAATCGAATAGCAATACTCCAATGGCTAAAATTGTTAACATTTTTTAACGAAACATACACATTTTATTCTATACAAAAATCATGTTTACACCAATAATTTTGAGATTTTAAAATTGTAAATATTTAAAAATTTTACATTTACATAAATTTTAAGTAATTAATGCCATATCTTAAAACATTTATTATGATGACATTTTTAGTAAAAAATGTCATAAAACTACCAGATAAGAAACCATTTTATTTCAATTGTTAACCAGTATAAAAAATGATTTAATTAATTTTTGGCCAGACCCCATCTTTTTAAGATAAAAGAAAAATTAGCAAACGTAAAAATAAATTAACTAATTTTAAAATTGCATGGCCATATATATTAATAACCTCCTTGGAACGACCATCATTATTTTTTAATGATTAAGGCTGTCAAACATCATATACCTGTGTATGGTAAAGGCTTGATGCGGGTTACAAAATAACTATTATATTAAGGATACTATTTTAGTAATGAAAATAATAATGATAGTCATGTTCTTCTTTATTGTTCCCTTAACTTATATTTAACAAATTTACACGTTTAATAAAAATATAAATATTTACATTCCATTGCCCATTTAAAGAGTTCTTTTTCAATGCAAAAGTTATCTAGCCTGGAAACAATCTTTAAACGTTGAACAAAATCGGTCGATACTTCATTCAATCTTGGCAAATAATTATTTGCCTCTTTCATATCCAACATTTTTGAGTTTAAAACTTTACGATATTTGTGCCAATCCTCTCCCACACTATATAAAAGAAAATTGTATTATAATATATAACCATTTAATGTTTTAAAAAAAACTTTACGCATTAAAAAGACCAATGGGTAGATTGCGTATCCTTCTATAGTGTATCATAGGCTCTAGAGCCATTCGGTTTGGGTATTTCGAATCGGTTCTAACTACCTTTGAATATTCCTTGGGGTCTGTTATTACGACTAATACCTCGGGCCCTATCTTTTCTTTATAGATCGTGCCAAATTCGAGGCTTCTATCATATTGAGCCTAAATTGTTTATTTTTTATGTTTTTAATTTATATATTATATTAACTTATAAATTCAGAGATTAAGGATATATTTGAATAATTATAATGAGATAAAAGATAATTCGAGGTTATCTTATTAAAATAAACAATTCGCAAGCACATAGCAATAATGAAATTAATTAAACTATTATGATACCGTTAAAGCCTTAAATATTAAATTTTGAAATTCATAGATCATACGCATAGTGTTAATTAATTTAATTTATAAGGAAAACTATTTTCACACATTTAGCCTTGAGTAAAATGAAGTAAATAATCTTTTAAGTTGACGATGAGATTTTTATTTTATCTCAATTAATTGGTATGTAAAAATTAACTTAAAGGCTTTAAGATATCATTTTGTATGTTTGTGGTTTTTCTTATATCTATTTATAAATTATTATTTACAAGATTAGAAAATAAATCATTTCTAAAAAATTTATGTAAATTTAGACAAACAAAAAGTTGTATAATGTTAGTTAAATTACATGTGGTGGGCTTTGGTTAATGTGAAAATTCTTACTTTTTATATAAAAAATTTTTTTAGTTTAGAGACAAAATTAAAGGTTAATACACCTAAGACATAAACATTGTCGCAAATAATTATTCAAATGAATTTTAGCATTACAAATATTATTTTTCTAAAAATGCACCTCTTATTTCCAATTTGTAACAAATAAGTTGAGGCAAATTAAAAGATCTCTATGGAAAAAAAAATAAAAATGAGTGGTTAATATTTAAAATTGTAAATAATTTAAAAGGTTTCATTTTTTTATTTAGTATAAAAATGGACATACCTACATGTGAGACAATGGCATCACTAGTGGGTCCTATCTGGTGGTTCAAGTCCGTCAAAAAATTTCGAAACATTTCAAAGTAGAGGTTTGAAATGGGCGGGTTTTAGCCAAAAGTTCGCCTGCTCGTTATTTTATAATTTATTTTAACTCGCCTGCTCACCCATTAAAATTCACCCACTCGTCTTCACTTCGCCTACTTAAAATCCTCTTATTGTTTAAAGCTATTTATGGCCCGCCCACCACCCGCCTAATGTTTAAAATATTTAAGAATGCCTGTCCGGAGATGGGCGGATGAGCTATTATTGCAGATCTCCATTTCGAAGCAAAAAAAATTGATTTTTAACGAATTGCAGATTTTAAGTACTCTATGAGCCCCGGAAATTGAAAAGTCTAGTAATGCCCTTGGTCTGAAACGGTGTCATATAAATGTGGGTGTGGGGGGGGGGTGCTTATTCAAAATTAGTTATCTTATTATAACGATGTATAATATCACTTTTAAAATAAAATGTTAACCTTAAACATATTATCGAATCCATAACCATTCTTTTTGATATAGTCAAACAGTGTTCCGATCAAAGGCCAGCCTTGTGGTCCTGGTATCATATCAAAAGTTTTAATAGCTTTAGTTATAATTTTTTTCTCATCGACTTCATTTATTTTGGATTTTTCCTTGAGAGTAAGGTTAGAATCGGGCAAGATTATTGAAGAAGAATAAACTTTATCCTTATAATTAATATATAAATTTATATTATTGACTAATTTTTTTAAATATATATTTGTATTAATGATTTAGATTTCACGTTCATTTGATAAAAAGTGTCAAAATTAGGAGGAAATATAGATGATTATTTTTAATTTAGTAAAATATATAATTGTTCAAGGCTTCCTTAACTTTTAAAACTCTCCTTTTTCTGAGATTATATCTAAATCGAATCTTAATTCAGGGATTCCATGTAATATTTTATACATTATATTTTATACTATATTTTATTAAACTTACATTATATAAATAGTTCCTTCCATCGATAGGTAAATTTTTGAAGTCTTTGCGAAGAAGCAAATTATAAAATTTAAGAATATATCCTTCTAAATGTTTCATAACTTTATCTAATTTCGGATATCAAAATTTAAATTTTTTCTTAAATAAAATAATTTTGAACTTATATTTTTTTTATAAATAGTGTCTTTGATATAAATAGTGTCTATAATATAGTATTTATTAAGAGATACAACTTTCTCCATATAGGTCAAAAGTTGTTATGCAATATTTTTTAAAATAATTTTTTGTTAAAAATTTAGTTTTGTAATTTCATTTAATTATATAACTATATATTTTAATTTGCCAAAGGAAAAAATATTATTAAATACTAATATAATAAAAAGTGAATTTTTAATAATATACCTATATTTAAATCTTAAACTTGATTTATATATTTAGTTTATAACAACATTTTAAAATAAAACGTTATGTGCATTGGTATAATTTTTTTTGAATTAAATTATTCGATGATAAAATATAATGATTTCATTTACAATGATTTTACATATTATAGTTGGATAAAAAGCATTAAGATTTCAAAAAATTTATATATAATATAATATTTAAATTTTATTTTCCTTTTTTTTTAAATTGTCAAATGAAAAATAAAAATGTCTATATTTAAAATAGTTATTATTAATGTATTTTTGTTTTGTGTTATTTGTTCGGTGTCGTGATAGATTGTATATTTTTTGTGACATCTTTTTCGACACAATATTGTTGCAAGAATTGGGGATGAATTTCTTAAATTAGCCTTTCGAATTCAATAAAAAAAATTCAAAAAATAGTTTTATATTTTGTGGGTTAAGGTTAAATGTCACCTTGTATTTTTTAATTTAAAAAAAAACCCACTTTATAATGTGAGGATGAATTAATCATTTCTTTGTTTGATAAATTGACGTTGTGTTATGTGTTTAAAAAATTGTTTAAAAATAATTAGATATATTGAATTTACCAATTTATAAGGAAAAAAAATTATATTAAAATTAAAACTTATAGAGCTTTTATCCTGAAACTCAAAAAAAAATAGATGTCACATTTTGTGATCGATATCGATAATTATATAAATATTGACTCTGAAAAAGATATATTATATTCTCACGATGATATAAAAATATGTAATCTTATGACATTTATTTATATAACAGAACAAATATTTTTAAACATGATTAATATAATATTAAATCTAGTATAATTTTTTTTGAAATTTTAATAAAAATTTATCATATTTTTAAGGTGTCCTATATAAATTTGAGCAATAATGATAAAAAAAATTTGGCATATTACATAAAAGATAATTATCATAACTTTATTTTTAATTTGAAGAATATTCAATTTGTGTTATTAAATGATATAAAATTTAAACATAAATTAAATGAATTTATAAGTTTCATAATAATATATTGAATAATTATTTAAATTTAACTTAATTGGTAATAAATAACCTATTTATTTAAACTAAATAGAATCCCTAATTTATATATTATTTTAATTGATCTTGAATCATTGTAAACGATAAATAAATAAAAAGGCCCATAAATTATTTTTTAACAAGGGGTTAAATGAGTTTTCCTACTAATATTTTTTCAAACTCAAAACAAAAGGACGGGATGAAGCAATCTCAAAGGGAAATTTCAGATGTTTATTTTGAATTTTCAGTGTCAGCTATTAGATAATAATTGCAACACCTTTTAAAATATTTGCAATGCACTAACCTAAATATAGAAATAACAAACATTGAAAAAATATTAAAAGGAATTGAAAATGATTTTTATTTAAAGTTTAAAATTTTAGGCTTAAGAATTCGCTAAGTTTCGAAAAGTATGTAAATTTTTTTTTTATAAATTATGTCAGAATGATAAATTGAAGTTAATTTTTTTATAAAGTATTTAATAAAATAATAATCAGCTAAAAAAATGGCATGAAGTAAAAAGCAATTAATAATAATATAATGAGGATTGATAAATAATTTCTTGGCTCCTTCTATTTGATCAATCTCTTCATAAATTTTAGAACACCACCTTTCCAGAGTTTATTTTATTAATTCAAGTTACTCAATAGTTCATAGATTATATTAGCACAGCATGACTTCATTAGTCAAAATCTGTTACTAACAGCAGAACATGATTTCTCATAATTGAAGTTATAAATAAATTTTAAATTCAGGGTCCGAATCAGACTCGAATTAGATTTGAACTTGAATTGGTGTATGCAGGGCTCTACTTAATCTTTTTTGTGAGATTGAATTGTGAGGAATTTATTTTTTTTATAACGACAAAATTTTTAATTTTTCTGTTGTTTTTATAAATATATTTTTTGAAATATAAAAAAAACTGGATGGATCGGCTCGGTCCTTTTTTCTAAAAAAAATTTTTGGATAGGATTGGACTCGGATTTTGGAAAAATATTCGTAGGATTAATTTTTTTCTCGGATAACCACTCGTCTCTTGAATGACATTACACCTATTTAAAAATTTTGTTTTATGTCCTTTTTAGTCACCTTTTTAGCCACTCTTATATAAAAATATATTTATATTTACCCACCCATAATTCTATTATGTTTATATATAATTTTTCTGTTATTTTTTATACGAGATATAAATATTTAGGGGCGACCAGGGATAGTGTTATCCCGGGACAGGTACTTATCATATAATTTAAAAACTAATTTACCTTGATATTTGAAATTTTAACCATAAACATATTTAAATAAGATGCTTCTTCAATGATTCTAAAAATGTTTCGCATGTTGTTAAACGGCTCGTTTTGAGCCGATTTTTAAAAACGGCTAACTCAATATTTTAGCCAGAAAAATATTGCCTAAGCCTTGAGATCTCGCTAATAGATGTCCAAACCTTTGTTCCTTCTATAAACAAAATCTTCAGACTTGCTTAATACTATTCTGGATGAAATATTGAGTTAGCCGTTTTTAAAAATCGGCTCAAAACGAGCCGTTTAACAACACTACATAAATATGCACATGTAAAATTTTAAATATAACTTTAAATTTTAACACGATAAAAATAATTTTTTACATTTTTACAAATAAATTTTTTTATAAAACTTACTCTAACTAAATATCATTTTTAAATAAAGTAATTTCAATTTTATTATGCATATAAATATTAATAATATTTATGTTATTTTAATATCTTAAAACTATTTAATTAAATGTGAAGACCTGGGGCAGGGTTGGCGGGGTGTGTATTAGCCATTTTTTAACAAGACCATATTTATGAGAACACGAGAAGCCACCAGGTTGTCTAGGGTCACGAATGAGATTATAAAGTTGGTTGACGCTTTTTTTGTAAATTATATGAGAGTTTTAAGTGTCAACAAGTTGTTCCGGGTGATATATGATATGGATGAATCTGATATATTTAACATATTTGACAATATATCTTCATTAATTTATTTAGGATTAACATCGTCTAGGGTCACGAATGACAATATAAAGATGGCTGAAACTTTTTTTGTAAATTATATGGCAATAAGTGACAACAAGTTCTTCCAGATGATATATAGTATGGATGAACCTGATACATTTAGCATATTTGTCAATATTTTTTCATTAATTTATTTAAGAATATTTTTCTATAAAAAAACAAATATCTATTTTAAAAAAACACCACGAAAGGCTAAAAGGTACCCCCGGGCATTTTTCATAATTCTTACATTTAAATTATATATTAATAAGAGACGAAAAGATTTTTTTCTTAAATATTAATTTCTACAGTATTATATTGAAAGAATAAAATTACTTTTAAATATTTTGTAAAAATTGCTCCATCTATTTTTTATACTACTGGGCATTAATAACCTCGTCTTCCTTATATCAAATCTTTTTAATTATCTAAGACCAAGGTATTGAAGTTAAACCATCCATCAGTTTATCCACTGATACTTGCAAGTAGGGCTCTAGTAAGATTACATCAAATTATTGAATTAAAAGTCGCATGCCTTGCATATCTACTTTACTATATAATCAGTACCTGTCACCTTTTAGAATCGACCGACTTTTACATTTTATGCATGGATGTGGTTCAACTTGGTAATGCATCCAACTATTCATAACCACAAGTGCAATCAGTATTTTGTAATAGGGGAATATATTCCAACGGAGGATTCGATTAAAGTATTTGGCAAGTTTAATTAAAGGTTAAAAAATTGATAGGCATATTAAGACTGTGGGTAGAACAACTTCAATCAAGGCCAATGATTTATCCTTGTGAGTGATAAAAAATAATTGCATTATTCAACAAACTTGATGCCAAATGAAAGATATATTTTAGGTGTAAATTAAGCCTCCATTTTCCTAGAAATCTCGCAATTTAATATTGAAAATATTAACCAATATATTTCTAAAAACTTTATAATACAATTAATTATTTCATAATTTAAAAAAAAGAAAAGAATCTAAAAATATGAAATAAAAAAATTTAAAAAGTATAATTCTGAATTTTCCAAACATTAAAAGGATGTAGCCTTCATTTATAATTCATTTTTTATTTTTTGTCAATTTTTAAATGCAACCTGATATTGGTGTGTAAAAATATTTCGATTTTGCCTCAATAACATATTTTTTTTAAGATAGATGACAGATTAAAATATTTTCTATCCCAATGATACATCTTATAGAATGTTATTTTAGAAGAGAATTTGAAATCTAAGCTTTATTGGTTTTATGAAAAAATTAAATAAACGCAAAAGTGCTATCTAGCCCCAGTCTAATTTAATTAACAACAAATATATAAATAGTATTTAATAATGTAGGGGACTATAGTGGGCCGATCGGGGAAGTTCATATATACTGTGGATACCGTTAAGGGCTTGTCATCTAGGTGTGAAGTGTGTGCATAAATTAAAAAAAATTTGGCAAATGGCATTTGTTTCAAATTTAAAAAAAAAATTTTTCCTTGTTAAAACTTCAGACAGGACATTTGCCATAATTTACTATCAGTTTAAAACTAGATGACTCCAATTTATATAATATATTTAAAATTAAAAATACAAATACAAATACAAATTACCCATCATATTTAGTAAAAATTGAAATTATATAATTTTAGATGCAATAATTTGTGCATCATCATCCATCAGTATCAAATAAAAAAAATTATTT